TAGCACTATCGTAGAGAACATGGAACATATTTTCAAAATTTCAAGTAAGTCTTAAAATTTTAGTCAAAAGGTCATTCTGCATTGCACGTTTCTAATTTTGGATCCTAATGTTATTTTATTTTCCAGCCCTTGACTGCCGCTAGGATAACGTAACTAGACTAATTCATTTGGAAAAGCACAGTCCAAAGGGTGTCCTCTAATGGCGACGTTTATTACACAGAGGCACGGAAAGTAATAAACATATTTTATTCCGTTTCTTGCATTCTCTCCGAAAGGCCAAGAATTTTATAAGTTTATTAAGACTAACAGCCGTAATGAAAAACCTGAATGAAGACTCAATACGCGGTAACAGAATTTTTTGATATTTGAATTTCCCGCTCTCACGCTACACAGGTCAGGTAGCCTTCCGCAGGGGCTTTGTCTTTGTTACAGACAGTTTTACTGTGAACTGGATATATATTCACCCTCGTGCAATTACGGTCACGTGAATCAACCACAACCACCCCAGACACAAGAATAAGCTAGGGTCTTATGGCGAGACTGCCGTACAGGACGCCGATGGTTTTCTAGGAAATACAGTTTCCTAGAAATTCTCAGTCCCCAGCCAAATGCTTAATTCTTGTTTTAATTGACAAAGAAAATTCTCAATCGTTCTTACGTGTGTCAGCGTTGCTTTAACTCCTGTAAGGTAAGATGCCTTATTAGATTATAAACGGGTAAACTTGTCTTGCATTATTTTCCTAAAGTACAAAATTCTCGTGTTACGCTACTGGCGTCCGGTCTGGACCACCGTAAGGCTTTAAAAGTCTGCTGCATGTTGCTTTATTTTCGAAGTAGACGCTACGCACGTGTCATTCGTCTCGACAGTTTCGTTAGTCTCTACTCTCTCGTTTATTCAGCATCGCCAAGAACCGGATTGTGTTCTGAACGTACAAGTGCTGCGTTGTACCTGAAAAAGTGCATATCCGACATTGAAAGTTTTCGAAAGAGATAATCAGCGTTTGAACGAGAAATTAGACATGATTGTTTATTTTATAAAATGGATTAAAAACCAGTCGTGAACAATGTTATTTATTTCTGTATTACTGATTGAGGTTAGCAAAGTAGAAAGTGCGCGAAGACCGAAGTTGCTGGTAACAGTGTAAACAACGGACTCTGGCGGTGCATCCTGAAACTAACGGATACATAACCAAGAAGCGACCTGAGGTAATCAGTACGGTTAGGAAAACGACGTTACCGACAAAGGTTTTGATTTCTTCATATAAAAATCTGTGTCGTGTAGGTTAATTAAGACATATGATACAGTTTGAAAATTGAGTCCTTATCGTTCAGCGACAAGGCTCCTCACAGATTCGTATCTTGGATATCACAGGTATGATCCTTTCTGGAAACTTCTTTTGTTGCTCAAATTGAGAAAAAGTCTACGCCGATATGTAAGCTATGGAGGTTATTGTAAATGACGTCGTAAAAGATACTGCCAAAATTGAAGACTAATTGTCATAATTATCTATGTAAGTTCATCGGTCACTTTCATACTAACTGTACGTTGAGACTCTTTTATCGGTTCGATTATGTTCCTGTCGATCAAAGTTCGTAGTTTTTTTTTTCTTCTATTTATAAGCATATCGAGCTACGTAAAAAAAGTGTTTCTAAAGATTCGCCTCTCTCGTAGCTTTTACGTTTCCATGAAGCCTTAGTTTGGCTCTATTGAATCACTTTATAGGATTATATTAGCGTTGTCGTTATATGCCGTATCGATTGGCCCCGTCGCGAATTGAGAACGTCTTACAATTTTTTTTTAAATGATTTTATTCGACCATCCGGGATCCGTTGGAAATAGTCAAAACACTAGTGACTTTTCGATAAAAAAAATGCTGTTAAAAATCATTTGGTATGAACAATAATTTGGTATTATTAATATTAGGTTATTGCATTAAAAAATCTCTTACAATTTCCTGCATAATTAATCGACTGCATTTAATCACAGATTTATCGCCCGTATAAATTATATACTGTATGTTCCCAAGATACTCCATACCAAGTTGCTCAAGGCTGACTATCCAGAGCACGCGAAGTTCAGATGTATATATTTCTCCGTAATCGGCATACATCGAGCATCTATTTGGTATAGTTACTGATCTTGTTTTATTCTTAATAAATTACACGCGTATACGTATACGCTATACCAAGGTGATTAAATCAACTTTTAATCAGACTTCCCTACATAGACAATCTGCCATTCAGTGACTCATAGACCCTGAGTAAACACGTGATACTGTTAACCTGCTTCTAGAATCATGCGAAAAAGAAAAATTGCACCATATTTACTTTCAATGAATCGCCAAAGAAACGTATCAGCCAGCAAAAACAGTGAATGACTAACAGATAAAAATAAGTAATAAAAAAAAAATGCATCCCACCTAAATCCAATTGAAGGTAATGATTCTCAGGTTAGGAAGTTTCTAGAAATTTCAGCGTACCCCTTACATAAAATCGTGAACTGTCATATATGAAACGATGCCGATAAAGAAATTCTGTTGTTGCTACTCCGAGTGCGAAAAAAGTCTTAAAATTGAAAACGTATCGAGCATAGCGCATTGCGCTCCTTTTTTCCGCAAGACTCACAAGGGTGAATTGTCCAGGGGCGAGAACCCGTGAAACTTGAATTAACGTCCACTCGACGTCAGCAAGCACACTGCCGGCTCTATTTCTCAGGTCTACAGCACCCTACAAGAATAACCGTCCAATAGGCTCAACAGTTCGGACCAGGAGAATTGTTCCCAAGATCTTTCAGGGTCCACCGAGATCAACGAGATGCGTACGTACGTGCCTAATTATACGTGAGGATCCTTCTGGGAGTTTCGTGGGGGTTCATTTGACGCATTTAACGCGCGGCTTTCTTCCCAACCCGTGCGTCTATATGCGCCTACGTACGTACGTTATACTATTACTATACAGCGATACGCAGCGTACCGAGCGTCATCAGCCACTGGGTTTCCTCTGACGAAAATTTTATTTGTTTCCATTAGGGACAAGTCGAAAATATACACCGGCGGCTCTGTGCACGTGATGGCTCTTATACGCGAGGTTCACGTATCCATACCAAGATCTATAAGCATAGATCACCTATGTACCTACGAGCCAGGCATTAGTATACTCGTCCACGAGCACCCTCGCGTCGAGCGAACTTACTCGCAGTCCTCGTCGACGTCCCGGAATCCCTTGACGCCCCACCTCGTTGAAAGGCGTCGCGACGTCGGCGCACTGCGTCCGATCAATCTCCTCTTCTCGGGCTCCTGTGCGCTTCGAAACGCGATGACGCGCACTACGGCCTCGACCGCTCGGTTCATCGTCGTCGGCATCGACCACTTCGTCCTGATTTGATTGACGATAAGACGCCGGTGGTGATATTTTGGAAGTTTTTTTTTTTTTTTTGACTAATTCGAGTCACCGATACGTATACGAAATGTGATCGAGGCTCTTCTACCTTGTCTCGGACACTCGCGGCGACCAGTTCATCAGGTCGGCTAGACGTCGTTGAGCCTTCTTGGGATATATCCTATGGTTTCGATCAGGCAGTGTACGTGGATTGACGAGCTGTCGTGCATGGGATGGATTGACTGATCCTTGCTTCTCCGGAGGACTTTCTTGGGGTGATCTGGACATCGGATTTCGGATCTATTGTCATCTCTTTTTTTTTGGACATGGAATATCATTACCGGCTTCGGTACGAGGACGATGCTGCGGAGAACGAAAAAGGGATGGCCTGCAGCGCTGCGGTAAGACGTCCTTGCGCGTCAGCCTTTTTCTGTTTCTTCTTGCTTTTCGAGAGACAGGGGTGATCTGGGATTTTTTCGCAAAATTTTTTTTTTCTTTTCATTTCTCTGCTGGGCTTGGAAATTTCGTGTTTCTTGTCGTGCAATATTATTTTTTGGACGTATCGTACCCTTAGGTGGGTCCTTCGGCGTAGAGATGGTGCTTTTCTTCGAAGCACTGTTGCCAACGTGACATGCGTGAAGTGCCAATGATTTTTCTGCTAAAGATTTCTATCGGCGGATATTACCTCACTTTATTGTTTCGACACGATATTATCCAATCGCTTTGCCAAGTTTACTTTCGTTCGGTGAGATGGCCTTTGGTTAATCGTCCGTGGGCGTGTAGCTTGTCCCACGTTGTACCTGGGATTTACTTTCCTGAATCATCATTCCTCGTGATAGCCTTTGTCGCTGTATTATTTTTCTTTTTTCTTTCAATTCGACGATCCGTATCGTTTTTCCATTATTTTTTGCCACTGTGATCAATATTGTTTACAACTTCTTTTTTTCTTCTCATGACGTCATTGTCATCAGAAGATTATCTTTGAGTAGTGTCAGTGACTGTTTATATCAATTTTTGTTAACCACGATAACATGGTAATCGTATGATAAAGGTTTTTACGGATATGGGAATTATTATTCGAGACTCCGGAGACACCGTTTTGTCTTACGATAATGATATCGTGTATTGTGCGACCTTGATGAATTAAAATGATAAGAGCACGTGTCACGAAGGAAAATCGTGCGCGTTAGCCTTGTGGAAGTCGAACGAAAGTGGATCAGTCTTACTAAGCTAATTAAGCGCTCTGAGATTATGGAAGTGAAGAAAGAACTGGAATAAGAAAAAATTTTGAGAAAAGCAGATAACAATTGGAAAAAAATGAAATAAGATTTTTTTTGGGGAATTTATTAGGTATTAAATTATGTTTTCGGACACCCGTCATGATTTGCTAAATAAAATTGCATCAATGATTACGCGCAACCAGATGCTCGGTCCAGATGGCCTGTTGGTAGTACCTACGTACTACTCGAGTCAAGTAGACAGACTCTTAATTCAAGTGGAACTCAGTCGAACGGGTCTAACAATAAGATCCAATTAATCAAGATTGCTCGTTTGACGACGAGACTTTAATTGTCTTTAAAATTACGTAATACCTGAAAATATATAATTTTTCAATGTTACAGAATGACAACAATGGTGCGACGAAGCGGGGCACGCCATACACACGGGGCACCGCCATGTCCTTTGGCTTCCGTCGCAGACCCACTTCCGGTATACCAATGCCCGTAACCTCATATCCCGACGAAGTGAATCCGGTGCATCAGCGCTCGAAATCAGCTGGTCCTGAGCATGATCGTAGACGCGACGACGAGAATCAGAGGGTACTACAAAATGCCTCCTCGGGACGCTCGACGCCACGTTTGGCGCCGCCTAAGAAAGAAGCCAGTGGCATCGCCTTCAGGACGAATCGTTTTGGATTTCGACAGCCACAACCTAGGTACACGAACAAGGTCGGGGATATATGCAGCAGCCACAGCGTCAGTCATTACAATCAGGAGAAATTACAGCAGGAGACTTATCAGCATAATAAACAAAACAACAGAGCACCGATATACGGTAACAGTCCACCGAGCTCCAAGTTGCGACCATCACCTGTCAATTCACCGTACAACAATAACAACCCTTTGAACCCTGATACTAATAGGAGGGTTTCTGGGATTCCAGAAACTATAGGGAAGTATACATTGCATACAAGTCACTTGCCATTGCCGCAGTATGCAGTGAGGATAAACGATTCGAATTCGAAAATCGCTAAGACGGCTGTCAATCAGAGTAGAAAGGTGTCCACGGCTTCGAAGGGTTCCACTAGCTCCAAGGAAGGTTCAGGTACCGAGGATTCAGGCGTAGGAAGTCAGCCGGGATGTCTGGGAGAACATGAGAATGTGAGAGAAGGTATTGATTATTTGGACGGTGGTAGTCCGGCTAGCGGAAGACGTGGACATGGTAGGCCCAGGAATCTGCGGATGGTTGTCAACGGGAAGAGCTTTGATGTCAGGGATGTGGATGATGAGAGTACTGTCACTGAGATATCAGTGATACCTCTGCCAAAGTCATTCGCTAGTCCCAATGTGAGCACTGGACTGGTACGCGAGAGAGCTACTCAATATCAAAGGGTCCTGAATAAAGACAATAGGTATAACGACTCGACGACTTCCATGTCGACGACCTCCTCAGAGGGTTACGACGAAGGCCTCGGCGAGGAGAAAGTGTACAAAGACAGATCACATTCCGAAAAGATTCCTTCCATTAAGTCAGACTTCAGTCCACCTAGTTCGGACGATCCTGAGTATGGCCATGGAGAAGCTATGGCTGATGAATATTCATTGAGCTCTAGCGATGAATGCAGGGCCAATTCGAATCAGCACCTCAAGACTATTTCTACTGCAGCGAAGAATGGGACACTACCTAAAACTACACTGCGCTCTGTTCTACTCACCATTGAGGATCCAGCTTTTGCTGCAGCTGCTGCTACATCTACTATTCTTATAGATGATGAAACATCACCAGTGGATAGTCTCTTCGATAGTCCTACTGCTAGTATAACTCAGTCTGATGGGAAAGCATCGAAGAAGGAATGTGTGATGGAGCAGTCTGGCAATACCATTGATGATGACAGTCCTGGAACACCTACAAATGCTTCAAATTCACTGAGCCTCTCCGAAGGCAGAGAGTTCTTCGATGATGAGATTGCTGATCAACCTGGTCTTGTCTTCGATGATACTTTGAGAGCTGGTATCGAAGGACAAGGAGTCTCTAGTCAAGTCATCACTGAGAACAGTCATACTTTGGTCGAATCTAATCCTAAAATAAGTAAGCACTTCATTGATACAGTCTACTACCAAATCTTTGTATACAGTACAGTCCTCTAGAATTTTTTTGTCTTTATTGTACTCAATCCTTACTGGATATGTTTTTATTTTTTTACAGATACAAGACACATAAAGAGTATAGAAAATAGTCCTATTCACGGCAGAAGATTGAGCCGTGCTGAGAGTGTGGATACCTTGTCACCATGTGAATCCATTGCTTCAGATGATTTAATGTTGGATTACGAACGCAGTGATGCAAGCTCATACGAGGAAACCAATCATCGGTAAAGATTTTTTATTGTTTGCATTCTTCTCGTTGTCTGATCTATTTAAATCCTTCAATCTCTCATTCTAGACTGGATTCCAATCCTGCCCTGCACGAGATGGACGACGCAACGATTTTTTCGGAATTGGAAGCCCAAGGAGAGGAAGTCATGAGAGAATGGAGCTCACTTTTGGGTGCTCATCCGACACAGCAACAACAACCAAATACCAATTCGAACAACAATAATCTCAACGCTAGTATCAACAACAATAATCATACAACCACCGAGTCTGGGTATGTATTATTTCATCCTGGTAATAACAATCATTCTTAAATGGTTTGAATAACAAGACTACTCAAGTGAGAAATAGAAATCAGATCGACTTCGACAAAAGAAACCACTAATATTCCTCTTTCTAGTAATATCAAACCATTTATGAACAGCATGACGTCACCTACAAATCATTAATGAGCGTAATCGGTACCCACTACGTATCTGTTTCTGCTTGGGTAGAAGGATTGAACGAAGAAACGATATTACTGTGACTATAGTAGTGCTCGATTTCGTTGCATATATCTATCTCCATTTATAAAAATTATAATCACTCCATTGATTTTAGATGGCTGCTAAATCATGGTGGTTTCCACGTTTACCCAAAGCATTGTTATTTCATATATCATCGCTTTATTCATTAGTCATTATTGCTCCTGTTTACGTCTTCACTCCTTGGAAAAATCTTGCGAATCATCAGCAAATATTGGCTGTCCTGACTACTGATCCTAAACATTATTACATTTACATACGTTAGACACAGCAGCAGATATCTGTCAGTAATCTATCATAGCAGTCAGTCAATGTACAAAGTATCAAGGTTAGGTTCTCTAACGACCCTCAAACATTGCGTACATACATAATAGTGCAGAACCAGTAGAAATTGTCGATGCTGTTTATAGAGCGAGTTGGGTCGAGTACTGGCATGTAAATTAAGTGAGCTTTAGTGGATCGTTAGTCTCTTAGATTCCTCTGAATATTCCCATATCTTAATTAATCGCAGTGCAGCCACCATACTAAAGAGCGAGAATCCGTATCCATGGACGTTTCTTGGTGCTTTTATACTCCTCTACTGTAGTCCACGAATTACGTATACGTTGCGTCAGGAACCTGAGATGTATCCGAGTAGGCGTGAAAGCTCGTGCCTATAGTGAATTACACGCTGGATAAATATTAACATTCTCAAATGCGTCAGTTCTGGGAACCATTAGAGTCTATGTAATTAAACGCGTCAGTTCCAACATGGTAGCAGTCTGACTTGACATTTCTTAGTATCCAGCTTATCTTAGGACTGCATATAAATCGTCATACAAGACTTAAGGTGGGAACTAGATGTACTTTAGGAATTAAAGAAAAGTGTAACTACATATCTATGCAAATTCTAACTGGCTGGTTTCACATTGAGCGCAGGCAATTTCATTTCACTTGTGTAGGATAGAGGAAAAATGAGGGTCGTAATAAGAAAAAGAAGATAAAGAACCTTGGCTGGCATTTGAACAGCATACGTGTGAAGATAACGACATATCTTTTTGACGCTGCACGTGTTACTTTTCTCTTTATGTAATCGAACGAGCACCCGACATTGTACTTCAGGCTTCATTCCTTTTGTATCATATACCAAGGGTACCTCCTGTGGAAAAGAGAACTGGGATAAATTAACTGCACGGCCGTTTGAGCTCTTTAGAATTTATAGAATATCAAGGGTCATAATGGATATGTTTAGTTCTAATCTGTAATCGTGTCTGAGTAATAACTTCATACTAAATAGAAATCGAACACGTTGATGATTTATAGCTCTGGCTGCTTCTGATATAGCATATTCGATGCTTTGCGAATACATACCCACTTCTGTAGGTAACGTATACACGTGTTATACTGGTTTAGTAATGGGCGAGCGAGACTTCGCACACAGACTGTATGGCGCCTCTTGCAAAAGACATATGGCATTTTATTTAACGTTTATCAGCCTATTCAAGCTGACTGTGGAAGTGGTTCGCGAATAAAGATGAGGCGTGAGTCATTCTGCTATCTAGAGACTACGGTGTTCAGTATTAGCATGGAATTACCAGGGAACTGGTATCTGTTTTTAGATCGCTAGAGAATGCCTTCACTTTGACTTTCTGGCATTACTATTTGACCTTTACAAGACGTCAGACGCTGGTTCGTTGTAGAGCAGAGGCACTCCTTGCTGAAAAACATACGTAATGTGTTTCCTTTGGACAGTAAAGCTTAGGTATGGTGCGATAAATAATTTTAGAAATGTCGTTTTGTGTAATACATCAAGTTTAATAGGTGGTAAGCGAAACTTTAGTTCTTCCTCTCCTTCTCAATTCGACTAGATGCTTTATTTTGAGCTCGGCGTTATTTTCGGTACCACGTGCGACAGAGGCAACGCTGAAGACACTCTCGTGTCCCTTAGTGCCATAGAGTGCAGTTGAGTAAATTTCATTCATAGTAAATCCGTTTAGCATAAACTTGCGGTGCGGCAAGATACGATAATACAATTTTATTTAACGTCCTTGCATATCTTGGCAATTTTTAAACGCATAACTGTCAGGTACTGCTGGATTCAAGCTCGTAACTCATGTTGCAGTTTTTTAATGTGAATTGTATCTTTATCGTATGAAATCTTTGTTATTTAATAGCTCTGCGCCACCTACCGTTTTCACAATTCTCCGTACGGATAATCTAGACAATGGCTCAGCTGTTTACAGTCACGAAAAAACTACAGTAGTCCCGCAGAAACGAATCTACAAAACGCGTCAAGGATTTTGCATTCGAAAGGTAGAGAAAACACAATTAATACTTTTCATGCGATTATAGTCTGACACGTGCAACTCGGTTCTGCTGTTGCACAGGGCGACCGAAAGAATTACAGTTCGAGGAACTAATTAAAAATCAGAACTAGGTTGGCCAATTTACCAGATGCCATGTTTTTTTGTGTTCCCTATCTTCGCCGTCATTAATTCTGATATTTATGACTCTGCTATATATTTTCACTGGTCGCTTCAGCGTACAGTCGGATAACCTTACTTACTGTACCATAGTACGGTAACAGCATATAGTGCGGCAGAAAAGTAATTCGGATCGATAGGAAAACGTGCGCGCCAGTCTCATCATGGCGGCAGCACAACTCACCCCCAGGAGAAGCACAGCTGGAACTTACGGGACACGTTTAAGGTTCTTTGTTCGCGTCCACCCGGCACTCCCCGTCGCCCTTTGTCCGCGACAAAGCTAGGAAGGTCGAGGACAGGAAAATGGCAGTTGTTAGAGCAGTTGCTTCTCTTCTGGCAAAAGTTCCTTTTGAAACGTACGTTATATGCTATAACAGTTTCTTCGTTTCCTTCCTCTTTGTATACCTCTGTGACTTGCACGCGGACAATTTTGACGCGATTATTTAAACTAGAGCACCGTACTAGGCCGCTCGCTCGATTCGAATAACTTACGTTTCTATGTATATCAAGTCACGCGACGTGCTCAAATGTCGCTTATAGATCTCGCTCGATATATCGACTTGTTATTTCTGTCACTACGCTCTAAAATCCTTCGTAGGGTATTTTACCTGCCTAACTTAACCCTCAGGTATTGGAGTATACCACTGTGAATAGTTTTTGTGATAATCGTTACTCGTACCGATCGATACGAGGTTACCCAAATAACCCACGTTGAATAAGGGTATACATTTTAGTAACGATATTCATCTTTTCATAAAAAAGTCTCATGGCTAATACGAAGGGAAACGGAGTATAGTGTTAATCCAGCACGTGATACGGTATAATAATTATTATTACTAATCTTCATTTGTATCCTTATACCTTAAAGAATCTCTAGTGCAAAAATCGAATCTGGGTACGCTCAGAACTTGGAGGTTAATCGAGCGCGTAATGTATCACCTGAATACAGAGAAAAGAAGTATACCGGAAGAGGCCGGTGGATGAGATGATAATAAAGACGGAAGTCATTGATCCCCAGGTACGCGAACCGTGACTAACTTCCGACTTAACGGTGTTCGATTATGACAAACATACGTCAGCCGTGCTTATTGCGTACGCACTGATGCCTTTTTGCAGCACGGATTCTCAGACGCGACATTTTTGTTTTTGCAATGCAGACGGAGCCATAGTCATAACAAGGCTCTTGGTCGTGAACGCGGCCTAACACGCCGTCTGATCCTCTTCTACGTTTGGATATAGTACCGCGCTTAGGGGAATAGACTCTATAGTCACTGTAGTCTAGCCTTGGCTACGTTGACTCAGTTCTACTCAGCCGGTGGTTGAGCGCGTTCCTCTGTTGCCAGCACTGTGTGTTTGGTTTTAGTTTACGTAGGAAACTTCGTGCAACAGCTGCCTTGAGATCTTTATTGCGTGCTGTCAACTTGACAGTGGTCAAGGGTGAAATCGAAATTTTTATAGTGTCTGGACACACGAGGAGTATCGTTTGTGAATCTTTGACACGTGCCGGGATTAATTGTCGACGGACTATTTGAATCATGAAAGATCGACCAATCTCTATGGATATATAAAAACCCGGGAAATTCAATTGTTAATTATAATTGTGCGACGCTTACCAACTGTGATTATACCGTAGACTATGGAATGTCCCAGGTGGGCGTTTTATATTATATATATTTGTATTTTTTTTAAGGATCATATAACTTTTAGTCGTTGTACAAGACCGGGGGACTGTATCTTTAATTTGTTGAGATATCTCAATTACGCGATTAATTGGCGTTACTTGTGTAATTGCGATGATTACTTAATTTGTTCGTTAAGGAAAGCACGCGGGAGTAAAGCAAAGTTGTATGCCAGGAAGAACGTTAATTACTGTACTCATTTAACTAAAGAAATGTACTTTGTTAAGGGAAAATGTAATTTTCGTAATTATTCTTTATTCGCCTCTGGCAGTTACATGCATTATTATAAGATTGTTAAACGAAATTCGTCAGGTCGCTCCAGGCTGGCAGTAACGTCTAGCCCAAGATAGATATTTGTAACTTCCGTTTATTTTCTAATGGACGCTTTCATATTTCCTGACGCATTCAATTGTCTCATTTAGACACCAGTCACTCTTATATTATTAGACAGTTAGGATCAATCAATAAAACTGTTAGATAAAAGCCTTACAATTTATTTAGTCAAATCGCCACACGTTTAGCGTGTCTCTTGTTTATCTCGAAGCATTATTATTTATATAAATAAATAAAAAGTCTCTTCTATGTTGTTCCAAATTGCATCCTATTTCAAGCGACATTTTCGTCTTTTCTTCATTCATCCTTATCGTTGCATGCTTCACTGTTAAATTTTCTGAGACAAAGATGTCAACCGTTTATGTATATATATATGTATCTATATACATATACTATGTATAGCTCGTGTAATTGTCAGTAGTGTCGCTTTTTCGTTAGAGACCAACGTAACGCTCGCTTGGAGATTTCCACAAAACTGATTGGCCAACGTAAGTCGCTCGTTTCGCAACGGCCAAATCATTGTTTTTCCTTGTCGGTTTGTTTCCTTTTTTCTGCTTCCCTGTCTGTCTCTCTCTCTCTCTCTCTCTCCTGGCATTTTCCCTTTTTTACGATTGCACATCAACAGCATTACGAAAGGATTATCGGAGCGTGAGTCTCGCGTGTCAATTTTCTTCTTTTTTCACTTTCGTTCCTAATTCTCCCAATTATTCTTGAGGCGTCGGACTTACATAACAGAGAGTCCCGTTTGCTGTAACGCATCAATTTCCTCGGATGGAAATGACTTTGCCTATGGTCACCGATAATCGTCAATTTCCGTGCGAAATTCATTGGACTTGATTTCGTCGATGAAAATGGAAAGAAAGAAAGAGAGAAAGTGAGATGAGAAAAGAAGAGAAAATAACTCCTCAGGAAATTGACACTTACCGTACACCCACCTTAGATGTACATTGACTATGTTTACACGGAAGTATTAAACCGGTTTAGTTAATACTGATCTAAAGGAATTGACCAATCCCAAATATTCCTTACAAGTAGAAGTGCCGATGATTTGTCAATTCCTTTGGATCAGTATCAACTAGACTACTTTAAGACCTTCGTGTAAACGTACTCATTGACGAACTCCTCGTGACCGTAAAGAATTACGTGAGACGCCATTGTGCCTCCATCTTTCGCATTTTGATAATCCTAACAAGTTTTCTGTGTTGTCTTGTATACAAAATCGTCTGGTAGACGTTGACGCATTTACGTGAAGCTATGAATTGTTTGAATGACAAAATTATTGGGGTTCGGTGATTGGAAAGTTGCGTTTGAATTAAAAGAATGCGACGCTACCGACACCTGGCGGTCGGCGGCCCAAGCATTAACTGTCATTGTCGTTCCATCATAACCACCGAGCCCTTACGGAAAGTAAATATACTTTAGCATAGACAATCCTGGAGCAAAGGTTATCTTAAACCCGTAGGTAAATAGGTAAAGTTTGTGAACGTGTTCCGGGTATGACTTATGGATTTGCTGATTAATAATGACGTCTCTTTGTGTGTCATATGAAATTTGTGGGAACTGAAGGAAACGCTTAGTTAAGTTTGAATAAAAAGAATATCACGGCAGAGATCGAGTCTGTCCGTATCATTCAGAGGTAGTGTTTTGTGTTCTAGCGCGCTAATAAAGCGAGTGAAGCAAATGCAAATCGCTGAGGACGCTACGGGTGGGGACTACTACCAGCTGACTTATCCTAACTAGCAACCACTCACCGGCCCTCCCTTGCCAACTAACAAACACTAACCAACCAATGCTTGTAGCTTAAAGAGAACGAAGAGAGCAAGGAGGGCTTTAGGAATTTAGGAGAGTATGCGTGAAAGATAGAGAGAGAGACAATACATAACAATATCATATTAGAGAGAGAGAGAGAGAGAGAAAACAAAAATTTGAGCCAAAGAGAGAGGCTGACCTAAACGGAAGTATTTATGTTTTTCAACTATTAATGCAGAAGCGTACAAAATTCAGTGCAGTTATTACTCGGATCCTAAGTGAAACAAAGAAGTGAAGGAAAATGAACAAGAGTAAGCAGACGATAATTTACTATAGTGACGAGCTACGACCATACCTGCGAAGCCCAGAAATACATACATGATTAGATACCGAGGAAGTGTATTTTTGCAATTTCATACAGTTCGCGGGGCCTGTTTAAATCGTCTTTATCTTCTTCTTCGTAGAGTTAAGCAGTGATCGGCCAGTGATACAATGTGTGACGGATGTGAATTTGATTAATGAAACTTACGTAATCTATCGTCTCCATGTTAATTCGGTGAATTTACCGTGTATCTTACCTACACGTATCATTATAGTGCTATACCTATTTACACAACGCGTTTGACGTACATGTATATGTAGTGGTAACGAAATTGTGACGTCACTAAATTCGTGAGAATCACCGTATAAAAGCATAGGACAAAAAATATACAACAAAGTGCGATTCACGGGTTAAACGTGAAACAACAAAGTGACACTGATTTACAGTTTTGCCCATTTATGTTAATAACGTCGTTTCCACGAAGGAATCTAACAAATAAAGAAAACCACCAATGTGGTTACTCCAAGTGCGCGAAGCTACGTGTAAAAGAATAAAAATCTCCGTCTTCAATCAAACAACATAATCCGTCTGTCTCTCGCTAATGCGCTTTGTGTCTTATTTCTATTTGGCGAACGGAGCGGTGACGCTTTAGCGACCGATAAAGACTTTTTCGTTAATCAGATACGCGAGGAGCGTAGAGATGGAGCTACCGTAACTTCCTAATAAAATCTTCCGCATAATTGCCCTAGTGAACAATTAAACTTCCATTTGAATTTAAATTTTGCCGCGCAAATCTTAAAGTCGCGTGCATCTTTCTCGTGCTGTGTGTCAATGATTAGAAGAATGCTCGTTGGCATCTGTAACGTTTAATTAATAATTAACCAATTAGCCGATAATTGTGTAAATGCATGCGAATCGTTAATATCTAATGATAAACGGGAAATTTGTAAACGTAAAAAAATGTTTGAAAAGAAAATTACAAAAAAAAAACAAAAATTATATCAGTAACAATATATTGGGAAACGTGTAAACAGCCGTACCTGGTACCTGTGACATTTGAAATCGTGTGCTGGTGCGTAAATTGCGAATATTTCTGTAATACGTTCAACTGCAACCGGATGTGCCAGTCGCAAAGCATAAGCTTCCTATATACGATAAAAATATGCATACCCACGTATGGTAATGATAATCTCCACATACTATAAAAGATATATATCATATACATATATATACCATATATATGCTCTTTCTGTCAGACAGTTTAAACGAACATTTCTCGATTGTCTTCACGTAAAACAAAAGCGCGGGAATTTTGAATATCGACTCGAGCACACAGGGTAAACGTAGAGGAGGAAGCGGCCGACGAGTTGTTTCAAAGGAAAAAAAAAATGGCAGCTTCACGAAGACACTGTGAGTAACATCGGCATAGATGGTCGAAGTGGCTGTACAGGGCGTCGTGATTTTGAACTGCGAACCAGCCTGTACCAGAGAAGGGAGAGTCTCTGTACATTCCTTGTGGTTAGTTGGCGAGAAGATACATGAATGGCGTGGATCGAAGAACGCTGAGACACGAAGTTGGCTGCATATGAATGCGAGTTTGGGAGGGCGTGTGGAGGGAGGATAAAGAAGTAAAAGAAATGAAAGAGCGAATTGAAAGCTCAAAGGGATTGTGAGATACTCGTGCGTTAGGATAGGAGCGCCTGAATTTAATTGGACAATATGAAGGAGTCGACTGTCCCTGTGAATTCGGACGTGGGCAATGTCACTTCTTCCCCTGGCAATATGGCGCCGGCCAATGGGTAAATAAATTCTGCAAATATCTGCATCCTCCCTATTATATACACAACACACTATATATATACTATAATTATATCTACATATTATTCAGAAATTCCTACGGACCTGAGAGATTACAGTATGTAGATTACCTGTAACAAACGTGGGTCTGGTATCGATGCCAGAATTTATTGACAATGTGATATCCTTCAGCATCCATAGAAATGGCGGCCGTGTCCGATGGAACGTCTAACCTCTTAAACCTGTCCATCCGCTAAACCAGGTCTGGACAGAACTTTACGTTGTACGTGCATATATTTCATGATAGTCCGGTTTCAGACGGGTATGGTCAACGGTTCTTTATTTTTTATCTATCATTTCTTGACGTGTTTTTGAAAAAAAAAATTGTCTACGATACACGGACAAACCAGTGGGAACGTCAATGACTTCGGTTGTCACGAACGATTAATATTCATTGATGATTGTGAATCATCGATCGAACCAGCGCCATAAGCAAAACACACATTTTTTTGAAAATTTTTTCCGTTCTTTTCGGACACGGCTTTTTTTTTTAATCCTTTGCTTTATTTAAGCTCCCGCTTGCGGCATGTATCTATCCTAGTGGTACTATACACACAAGACATTCATACCTGTATATATTTTGTAATTATAGACGTATGTATGTATACATATATATATTGTTAAGTAAGAAATTAGTCAAAGCACTTGTAATGTGTCGTGAGCATGAAATTTTCAAAATTGTCTTTTTTTTCTCTCCCATACCCTATAGTATCGTACTAATCTATTTTGTTAATATTAAAGATTTTTTTGTCTCTATTAAAATTTCATTACATATATGTACATATTCAAGTACTTCAATAGATTCGTCAAACCTTTTCGAAAATGGCGTTCGGCGATATATTCAATCGATTTAATATCTTAAGGTGTAAATGTGCCGCGATATTTATTCATATATTGTAATTTATTCGCACATTATCACCGTCTGATATCTACGGCCTCGTGTTAATTCTGATGAAAGATTACTAGCCGCACGTGAGTAATACCTTCATAACACACGCCCCAGTTTACGGCAGGAATATCCCAAGAGACGACCTAGAACTGTTTAGCGCTCGCGTTAGCCGAAAGCAGGCGTTTCTGGTATTACCAAGTTATTTAATTAAATATCGCCCTTTAAAAATACATTTCGGTACAGTCATATATAGAAATAATTCATTCAAATGATTTTGCACTATTTTTGTTTTGTTTATTTTTCTTCTAGCTGATCTTATCCATCGATCCATGACAACTTGTCTTCTTCTATTACAAACAGACTACTGTACTCTAACCTGTTGGCTAGTAACTTTCCCACCGTCACAGTTTTACCACCGTTGGTTGACAATGGCGATCGTTGCCGAGGTCAGAGAGCGTGAACGACACTCGGTCATTCGTCTGTGTATTTTGAGTCAGAAAATCCTAGAGGAACAACGACCCGAGAACATTTAAGCCAAGCTGTGCGTGTCGGACTGAGGTATCATTTCTGAAAGAGTAATACAAAGTTTGAATGCAGTTGTCAGGAAATTATTTTCAATGTCAATATTGCTGGGGGATAAAATCACTTCCTTCAAGGTTAGAATATTACTTAAGACAGTACATACCTAATGATAATTATCTGTTGACTTAGTTTTGCGTGGGTAGTAAAAATATTATCGATTTCGTCAGTGTAACTTTTGATTGTTCTATTGACAAGGCGCGGAAGAAAAAAATAGCTGACAATCAGTCGCTGGTAAGGCAGTTCGAAGACAGACCTCTGACATATAGAAAAGCATCTGTCGTCGTGAATCAGAGCGTCACTAGTTAGGCACCTGGATTTCTTGTATTTTTATTCAACCACTTACCAGTCAACCTTCGTGCATTCCTTGCAGATTTATGTTGAGAGTCGATTCCTAGCGCCGAACGAAAATGCAGGGTTGTCTTCAGGCCGTTCTTATCTGACAACGTTGCTCGGAAGGTTCTTTCGCGCGGGAGACAGTCTCGGTATTTATTTACCCTTGACGAATTCCTGGAGCTTCTTCACGGTCTGTTTACCCGATCACTCACCAAATCGCTGGACGGATAGTGGCTTCCGCAAATTATGCATACATTTAAAAGATTTTCAATGCTGGAAATTTATCTCGTATTCCCACGGTCTGCCGCCATAAGCTAGTCACGAGAGTTAGTCGTTGAATTGACAATTTGCAAACAGCCTTGACATTTTGAATGTATTCCTTTCTACTTTGGTATATCTTGAAAACGGTGATAATATTCATACGATTTACCATGACCACTGACATTTTTTAAGGAGGTTCTTTGACTCCGGCTGTATACCTGCGCGGTGAGGTTAGGAAAAATGTCAGTTTGCGCAGCGTGCACGATTCTCTGTGGCGAATGGGTAGAAAATGATAGTGACACGTATTGACTTATCGTTATGCAAGCTGGAATTCGAGACTTGTGAGTTCCTTGGACTATTTCCGTGCAACCTTCGTCGCACGGAGCGACATGTATCTATTTCTAGAGCAGCACTTTCCGGCCAAAGAACTGTCAGCCGTCCTTTCATGGTTTACAACGAATTACGTCGTTATTATCGTCGCGAAATTCCTTAATTCCGTCACTCTACCACGTATAATAGCATTTGTTATTATTGTCACAGTCTGAAAATATATTTCCTTTCGAATTCACAATCCACTGCCAAACAGTGTGTTATGTTAAATTAGGTTAGGTTAAAGTGAAAAAGTATATTGATCACACCCTTTCTAATTTCTTTCTTATTGTTTTATTAAATTAGTTTTACATTCCCCGTACGCACACAAATGTCAGATCTTTGTCTCTCACTCTGCAAAGTCCATGCTGTGTTAAAATACTATAAAACTCGAGCGGTAACTTTTCCTCGGTACTTTGTCGCGGGATTATATATGCGAACGGATTATTCTCATTGGTACAAGAATCTTGTGCGCTGCTGGGATACGAAAGATGATGCAATGTTGAACGAAAATACGACAATCGGTTATTACTGGTAAGAGAATAATTGTATGTTTGAAATTATCATTGAAAGCGTACCTATATAATTTTATATAGAACCACCAAACAATCCGAGCTTGGCACTGATAAATATCGACTATCTCACCGATAACATTGTTCACAGGCTTGGGCGATAGCTGAAATTAGAAATCGATCAGTCCACTTACTATCTTAATTAGCTGTGAGAGCCGAGCCAGTGAAAAATACAAGGCGTATTTAATGAACAGCCAAATCCCACGAGCGTAGCAGTGCCTCTGATGAACTCGTGAAATAATTTGTATTTTCTCTCGGCACTCATCACTGTACACTTGTATCGTACGTGCGATAAGAAATTGAACGCCAGTGACAGTGTGACATTGAAAGTGAATCGGTGACTTGAAAGTGAATAAGAGATAAGGCAGCTACGTTCCCGTGGGACCTAACCTAATTTACAGAAACTTAATTGCCTTCGATAGCGAAATGATTGTACACGACTCTTTTAAGTGCCGCAACTGCGTCCATCCGAGAAAACTATTGACAGGATCGTTCACGTGGAGTTCAAAGGTCGTGATTAAAAAAATCGAAGCATCTCAACATAATTTTATCGATTGATATATATATCCTATTAATTTAAATATTTAACCATTACACCGACTCCTATCTCCGATACGTGCCCCAATGTAAATACATTTTAAATTACGTTGCGTATTCGCCATTAAATTTATTTGCGGCATAACCACAACGTAGGTGGTAGCAGCTTTCGCATTGGCATAAAATATACAGGATGACGAGTGTTCAGGGCGGGAGGGGGGCTGTTTTGGCAACTGCAAAGACTGCAGCGTAAAATCAACAAAGTGATTGGGCCGGGATAATTTGAGCGTGGGGAGGGTCGTCCAAACCGGAAGTTCCGGGATGGGGATTTGCCTTTGATATAAAGTAACTGCTGGATTTGCTCGTTCAATAGTTACCACGTAACACTGACTCGTAACCCCTGTCGGCGAACGCCATCTTTTTCGAGTCCCATGCTCTTTCCCCTTTATCGGCTGGCCTTTTATTCATGGGATGGACGGTCTGTCTGGTTTTCGATTTTCTGGCACTCTTCACTGTTGCTGGCAAGCACCTCTTTCCTTCCGTACTGTAGAGCTCGTAGCCAAGTTTGTTAGGAAAGTTCACAAGCCATTCGGTGCCAGACAGTGGGGGATGTAAAAGGGGAGGAAATGGCGAGAAGCACTTTAAAGGGGGAAAATAAAATAAAATCATTCTGGTAACTCCTGTTATTTCAAATAGAATCGGTACCTGTACGTACCAGCCACTCTTTGAAGTAGTGGGCTATGAGTGGAATGGGTAGTTGTTCTTAAATTTTTAATCAAATCTCAATATGAGTAATTCGCTTTTGCGCAATGCCGTGATAGGGAAAATGAGAAATGAAATAAAAACATAAATTCTTAAACCGTGATTAATCCCCTCGATTCGAGACCTCGTTCTCTCATATCGATCACGCCTGATCGCTCAATTGGTTCCACTTGAAAATCACTTCGACTGTGTCGCCATCTAGGCTGCCACTTGATACCTCAATTATTTCTAGCCAAAGCCGTGTAAACAGGTGAAGCGACAATATGAATCTTTAAAATAATTTTTGATAATTCAAATAAAGTTAACAGTGTCTATTACCAGAGTAATAGAGTCTTGAAAATTACGATGAAGGTTGGAAACAGAAAGTCTAAATTTCAGTGTATGCCCTGTGTAACGGAGAAAGAGCGGGAAATTCAAACCAGCGACAAATCGTTATGCGCCTATGGAAGGGGGTGGGCTTTACCAGTCTAGACGCGACGACAGCGTCGGGACGGCCAGGGGTGGAACCTGGAATTCGCCAGTCCGTAAAATAAATCCTGAATAAACTCTAAGGAAGTTCCTTACTCGAGAATGCGTCCAAGTGCATTAATAGATTTTTGCATTACAATTTAAAGCATCTTTTTCTAACCGATTAAATCAATTGTTTATTAATTAAGCATTAATTTTGTTTGGATCATCATGTTTAAATTCTTCAACTAAATGGCAATGATTACTGTCTCTCAGGATTCCTTGATAATTCTTTCATGATTTTCATTGAATTTAAAATTATTGAAACTTCTCTGTTTTTCTAACCTAATCATTTTATCAGCTCCTCTGTACCGGCGTACCCTAGTGGGTACACTGTATCTTGTTTATACAACATTTTAACAGCCATTCGACTACCAAGTGCGTTCGCTTAATTAAGCCAAGACCCCCGACACGGCCGTAGTTAATTACTTCGCAAGTGGTCCTCGTAAATTAAAAAAGAAATAGAAACGCTTGTCCACCGTCTGCGAATTTTAAACTTCGCCTCCACGGAAATCCAATGGAACCGTGAACTCAGGTTCATCCGGGACCGACGACCCTGGCGCCAATGAAATATTAACAAGGAAGCATTGTCCGGTATCCTCCCTTCGTAGTATCTATTTGTAAATTTGTGTACAGTTGTACAGTAAGAGTAAAAAAAATTTCTTTATCATCCTATAAGAACATGCCATATAGATAGGCTATGGCAATCTGATCTGATTACTGTACCACCTACGTCTGTCTCTATACACAATTTTATAGGCTCCTGTACAAGTGTCATATTGCTCCAGACAATTATTTCAGTTCATCCGAACGTCGTATAAAAAAAAAATCACCGTGCGTTTTATTCACTCATTTTATCAGCTGTCCGCAACGTGATTCATCGACCATCAGCGAAAAATCCTCTCAGCCAGTGTCTACCCTGTCTCTCTGATATTCGAATACTCGACTCTCTCTCTCTCTCTCCCCCTCTCCCCGTTCTCTAGTCCCACCGCCGCTGGAAGTACGCCGATATCGAGCGAGCCGTCTCCTGGAGGCGCCTGCGCGAATTTCACGAAAACCGTGCACAATCTACCCGACTCCGCAGTGCATTCCGACTAGCGTTTACGTCGCCTCGGTGTACTGTCACTCAGGAAGCCTTACTGGACTGTCAAAATTATCCCGTGATCCACGTGCTTGTTATTGTGACAAGCAGAGTCATTGACAGCACGTGACAGTCATTGATATAAGTCGTGGTAGGCGTAGGAGATACAGTGTCGCAGGATGTCACAGAGGGAGTGGAGTCTGTTGATGACGTCGATTTTCTTGATTGTGCGATCTTTCACAGTGACACGTGATAAATGACTGATATCGATCTACGAAGAATCATCGATACGCGTCATGAAAAATTACTAGTCTACGTTCTGTATGTCCGACGTTATTTTGTCTGATTTACACGAATTTTGGAATGTATCAAATTTTTTTTTTACTTTCACTCAAATTTTCTTCGGAGGTTATGTCCTTGCTTTTTTAAAATCAATTTTCGACTCTTTCGAGTCATCGATCAATATCTCACTTGTTGCTCCTATATTGTGTGTTGACACTTTTCACTTGTTTTCTCTCTGCTCTCTCTGGCTTCTGTTTATCTATGAGCGTTCTAGACTGATGAATGATTTGGAGCTCTTCGAACGACCGTGTCAATCATTGATGCCAACTTTGAAATATTTTATATTTTTGAACTCAAAGGGACGCATAGTTGAATGCACAAAATTGCCTCGCAAGATCTCGATCGTTAAATCGATTGTGTTCGATTTTTCATGACTTTTGAATACCGACTGCCCATGCTTGGTTTTTATACATAATAATATACTCAACAGGGTATATCACTACCTTACGATAATTCTTCGGATCCCCCTTTGAAATGTCACACAAAAAATAGCTAGATGTGTTTGGGTCATGATAACTTGCTAGACGATAACACTTTTCTGTCACCATTAATGAATCAGGCTTCTTGATTAAAGCAAAGGTTATCTAACGAGCCACATAAACTAGTTTATCGGAAATATTCAGAGCGTTCAGTTTTTCATTTGAACGTGAAAAATCGAGTCATTTAATCACAGGAGTCCCGTATACTAGATTTTTTATAACTCTGTGATTTATTTAGCATACGATGTGACCGTCTCGTGGGCCTTGCGCGGAGTAAGGCTGTTTAATCAATTGTCAGAAACATATATATTAGATTATAAAAATCAAGTACAGTGTTTCCTGGTGAACTAGGAAGGTAAGGAAATGGCGTCTTCGTCTGAGGTCGCCAAAGGTGCCAGAAGAAGAACTATGTTACCCGTACGAGGTCGGGTTTGTGTTCCGGTCAGCGATAACGTGAATGATGTCAATGGTGTTGATAACGTTGTCGGTGCCGGTGTTATCAATGGAAATTGCGAAGATGGAAAAGATTCTGGATTGTCGTCCGAGAGTTCAACGCCTACTGGAGGTTCTCCGCCGCCTAGACAAGCTAAAGCTACCGGGACCACGTCGAGTCTGTCTGTTCCTGTTGCTGCGGCTCGTAGCAAAGTTGATTGTGGAAGGTAGTCATTATTGGTGACGTTAATGATTCAGGATGTAGTTTTACAACGGCGGGGAATCTTAAAAAAAAATATTAGACCGTTAGATTTTGCTGTAAAAATTATTATGGACATTGTGAAAATATATGGGACAACCTTCCTGATTAACTGCTTAATGGAATTATCGTGCTTCGTTGGGAATGGGAATTGATTATCGATTTTCAATCTTGGGTATATATGTTTCTTATACCCTTTAGTTTGACCTTTACCACCCTTATTATCGTATAAAATAATTTACTACGTTGGACGACCGATAAGACTGTAGGATAATGCCAGAGCGTCTTTTTTTTTCTTTCTGATATTTCAAGTCGAGGATAACAGTTTTATTTACCATTAGACACTTCTGGCAGTTTCTTATTTGATACAGACATCATGGGCGTTATGATTCAATAGAATTACGTAGGGCGGCCTTAGTTCACTGTAATTTACTATGAGGCATCCATTAAGTAAATCGCATTGTCAGAGTAGCCTTTTCTTCCTTTGCAATTATGATTATCAGTTAGTCGATTAGGCCCGCAGTTGTCGAGGTAGTTCTTTTTTCAAAGCTTGTACTTTGATAATTGATATTTATATTTAAACGTATGTATATTATTATCGTGCTCTTATTTTACCTTGACGAATATAGCAGACTGTTGTGCACGTGAAATCGCATGAGGATATAGATTCCACGTATGACATTTACTAATTAAATAATAGTGAAACGATGTTGCATTTCAAATGGAATTTAAATTATCAAATTTCTTGACGATCAGAGGTTATACGTGTGTCACTCGTGATTCGTAATATCGTTAGTGGCATCTGTGTTGAGTCATAGTAACGAGGTGCTACAGTGATGCAATTTTCAGGCGGGAACTGTCCAGGAATTCAAATATTTTCACTCTGATTGCAGAATTGGCAGTGGCAGAACGTCAAGATTATTGCGCAGCAGATCTGGCACCGAATCCCCACGTTCCCTGGACAGTGTGCGTACTCGTCAAATCTCCAGTCCGCTCAGGCCACCGAGAAATGTAATTTATCCATCTATGAATTGTGTACAAGGGTGATCGATTATTGTATGTTTCACGATTATTGTTTTTGTGACAAAAATAGGTACAATCTCCCAGTCTTGATTCTGGTGACGAGGGGAGCCTAAGGCTGGAACGTGCCACGTACCAGTACATGTCCCAGGACATAGTCTCTATGAAGACTATGCTACTGAAACTAAAGCGTGTCATTCAGGAGGTGAGAGAAATTGTCAGTGTACAGATAAATAGATTTTAAGAAACATCATAATTCATTTATGCATCTCTTTCTGGGTGTACTTTATAATATTTCTATATACATACCTTATCTATGTACTCAGTGTGTCTAATGACGTGTGATTAAACCGTTTATATTTATTGGTCGCTGTTGCTTTTATTTTGTATTTGTTAATCATAATTAACACTCTTTTTGTTTTTGTTGCATTATATTTTTTCATCCTCCTTGGTTTTGCACTTGAAGTCAGAAGAGAATGGTATGACGAGGGTATGTTGTATTTTTTGATATTTTGTTTTTCATAGCTATCTTGTGTGCTTATCTATCAGTTAATTGATTCGTTAATCATTTTATCTATGATTCTTTTTTGGATTTGCAGGCAGAAACTCTCAACCCATTCGACAGCTCTATGAAGGTGACTATTATTTTTTGTGCATTACTCTTATTAGATAAAGTAGCAATTGTTTATTTAAAAAAATTTTTGTTGTAGAATGGTCTCTTCTATAACCTGAATGAAGGGGGAACGACAGACGCGAGCACATCTCCTGGAAGTTGTGAAAATGGTGTCACTAATGAGATGGCAGACTTGCGCAGGCAGGTAATCTTTCTGCAAGGACAGCTTGAGGATCGTGATCGGACAATACAATTATTGCAGGTAAGAATTGTCATAGCAATTAATATTTTATCATGTAGAGTATCAAGCATTCAGAAATGTATAACAGTGTACTTGTTTATTTCAGGTTCAGATGACAAAGTATCAAGGGCTCAACAGCGTAGACTCTCAGAGCTGTGCTTCCTCGATGCATAGTAGTAGTACAGGATTCAAAGAAACGTGCAATGCAGCAACACAAACCGAGAAGGTATGAAATCCATAATTCACGCAATTTTGTCTAGCCACTATTTACCTGATAGCATTGTCCATCTGTATTGCTTATCAAGGATGTAAGGAGGTGTATCATACACAAATTTTGAATTCGTGCACTGAAAAATCCTAACAAGAAAGAACAAAGTTTCCATAACAAATCTAACTTTCATATATTGCGGCTTGAATCAATCAATAACTTATTTTGAATATCACCAATCGACGCTTGGCATTATTGGGTTATCATTAGTTTGCTCCAATCGTATGGTTAAAGGTGCGACCAGTGTCAGCAGGTCCTTCGCTTCTGCAGTCACTTCCACAAGACAGTGGCATGGGGCCTCTCGTTAGGTGAGTTTATCTATATTCATAATACACTACAGTCACTAATAAGATAATATTGCACGACATACAAACAGATGTCAGAACAATTTCCCTTATACAATTATTCTCGTTTTCATTGTACTAACTGTGAAATGTATACCCAAGTGTCTGACACCTCAAGAGATGGCTGACAATAGAAAATCTTATGGGATACAAGGAGTGTAACAAAGACAATCGAGATTTCCTTCAATGGAACATACGTGACGGCTTTATTCTTTACTGATTTATATTTTCAGTAGCACACTGTATAATTGTCTTTCCTTTTTAAAGGACTAAATTCTCAAGGTTTTTTTACTCTGGTCTCAGATAAAGTTAAAGCTCTCACGTACCTTCATTTCTGAACATGTCACTTGGCACTATTCACACTCATTCCTCATACATTTCTTTCACATATTCTTTCATCCAACGTGACATGTAAATAACGTGTTGTTGTTGCTGCCCTGGCCTTCGTCATTCTCCTGGTGATATCAATACAAACAGCTTCAGGATTGGGAAGGTAGAGTGCGTCAGTCTGTGTGATTTACTGTTCGGATGTCTACTCCTTTGTGCATTTTACTTTATCATTTATTTGCATCTACTATACTTCAGGGTTATATGTCCCCATATATAGCATTAGTGCTTGGGTCTAATATGCATGCAGACCAATTTTTTAATATATTTTCTGTCTATTGACTAAAGTTGGTGCTACATGCCTTCGGGGGCTAAACTTTCTATTCCAGATTCTAGCATAGCTTTACACAATATTTGCTCTAGTGCCTAATTTAATGCTTTAACATTAATCAAGGCTTTGAACTTATATAATCACAAGTTTATTCTTTCTATGATAATATTACATATTTATAATTTATAGACATATGATAACACAGCCTATATTTAACATAGCTATTACTGTTAAGTGAGAGGAATTCTCAATAGTCTGCCTAAATTGTGATATGCGTACAATAATCAAGAAAAACTAACAATCTCTAGTAATTCAATGGGATTAAATAGAATAAACAGAAACTTTTCCTACGTTGCATACTAACAATCCTAAGCGATTCCTCAGCATGGAGTGAGAGTAAATGCGTAGTGTATTATAAGATATTGTTGGATTAGATATAGTCAAATAATTCTCTAAGATTATAATGGATTGACAATTGACACTGTTTCATGCTGCGATGATTAGCCCTGTGGGGTGAGTGTCTCATAATACTCCAAATCATTTCTATACATTAATTATCTTTGATCATTCTGAAAAAATGTTGTACGTAACAGATTAAATAGAAGACTTTTCTTTGAACCGTACTTGCAGTTGGAGTGACTCGCGGTATCGTCGTCGACCTCCGTCGCTCGCAGAGCTGAATTCGCAGTCATCAAGAAATCGTCATCCACATAATCTTCATCGCAAATCAAGCGACTATTCTCCACGCCTAACAAGATCTCGTCAAGAAGAAACATCGCCCATCCGTCTGAACGGACACGCGGAAAAAATGCCAATCGATAGCAACACATCCGTAAAAAAGAATCTGAAACCGAAATCAGAATCGACGCCAGGAATTGTTGGCAGGAATAATGTCGAAGCAAACGACATCACGAGCGATATTAATCCGGCGAAACCGGATATCGCGTCAACTAGTAACAAATCATCGATTCCAACCTCTAGAAGACTTGCGGCAACAGCAACGCTTATTCCGCGAGCGGCGAGAGCCGTTTCCGCTACAGGCCGACCGCACAACCCGTAACCATAATGTTCCATAGGATGATTCTTTTTTTTATTGCATACATTACCTGATCAATTTGTAGATATTTTGAATCCCTCCTGGGCTGACCTGCGAAATGCACTGTCCTGTCTTTTTTTGTATATAAATAAATTTGGAAAAACCAGTGTACATTTTACCTGAACAGTAGAAAAGATCATTCGTCGTTGTCGTGAGCTATTTGAGAATTTTGACATTCAGAATCCGTCTGCTTACAGAATTCTCTAATAGTTTTTATCCAGGTCAGCTCAACTTGTCCAGGGTCACCCAAGAACAAATTAATCGTAAAACTCAGATTGAATTGTACATATCTAATTGGTGTAGAATATTAAATTGTTCATATTTTTGTTCTCTTCTTTTCATTCTTACAGAGCGAAAAGTCCATGCTTGACTCTTGGGTGATCCTCTACGCTTATTCTACTTCGTTAAGTATTCCTTCGTGATTTGATTTAGTTTATTATGATCTCAAATCTTAAGCGTTAAATCTCATCTGAACGTGGCTATACTTCAATTGGTCAAATAATTTTTTTTGTACGAACGAAAGAGGTCTGATTGATGTTGAATTTTTGTTTGTTTAATAAGCCTTCTACGGGGGCCACGAAGTATTAGTCAAGGATGGTCTCTGTCTTTGTTCAATTTGAGTCTAGCCTGTTCAGTTATGTAAACTGAGAATGTGTATCACGCGGCAAGAATTTTAATCGATGTATAATTTTTCTTCTGGCTTGGTCGCCATTGAGATTGCACCACGTTGCAGTCTTCGTCAGGGTACTACGTATTAGAATATTCCAGTTAATGTCTCTAATTTATTTTTCTTTCTCGTGCTCAGATTGCATTGTCCCTGGTGCTATTTGTGTTCTTTCTTTTCGTTTCCCCTGGTCGAAGTAATATTTAGATTTTCCTGAATTTTAAGATCTAAAATACTTTCCCATCGCTTTTGCTACTAAATTGAATCTTTCAGTAATTGAATTTATCTTGAAATATTATTTCCCATTGTCGAAATGGAAGTCTGCGTTAATTGATCAATATGAGATATATCATTCTCATAAATAATTGAAGGTACCGTTTTCTTATTCTTGTGGAGAAGAATAAAGTAGCGAATCAGTCCATGATATTCAGGGGAAACTAAGTATGTAATGTGATGCGTGTTAATGAATCCCTTTTTTTTAACTCTGTGAAGGAGAAAGAAATTTGAATAATAAGGATTGGGAAGATTGATAAAGCAAGTTTTGTACGACGATTAAAGGACAAATAGGAATAGTGGCGGCTCTAGCTTTAGTGCGGCTAGCTATGTGCGACATGGCATAAAAGGCTTTTTACAGAAAATAGGATGGTTCAAAATTCTTGTGCTACGAGTGACCAATAACTACTAAACAATTCTTTTACCTATTATACTGGACTGCATTTATATACATTGAAATCAAATAATTTCACAATAACTCTAGCAGTCTTTAACTAAGTAGATGATTGAACGATTCGTAAATGTTTGCGATATCAGTCTAGTTCCTTGGCACAAATTTCTTCGATATTAACCAGCTGATGGTATATTTATTATTAGAGTATAATCATACGTTTATTACATCAATTGTTACTCGTCTCCCTGTTTATCTGGCATAAGAATTTTGAGACACTGCTAAGTAAAGCAGATAGAGTCCTTCTGTTGTGGGAGGACTGAAGAGAGGAACAAGTGAATGAAATAGCAATGAAAAAAGTAAAAAAAAATTAAAGATCTTTGTAAACGTTCTATAGAATCAGTTTATAATAATGATAATATACCACAAGGCTTGGATAGACAGCCTTTTTGTCTCTTATGATCCAGATGGGATAACGTGTCAAGGAGAGATAATAATGCACATTTATTGAGGAGCCTAACTGGAGTTGAACCATCTTATAGGTTTGTTAGAAATTTCGCTGATTCCCAAAATGGCGATAGGAAAAAACAAACAGAAAGGTTATTTCTGCCAAATTTATACGAATTTCTATGTGTTTCTCGTTAAAATGTTAAATGCGTGACTGATTGTATATTTGGATTGTTCGTAGGCCGCGTGGCTGATATTTATTTGTACAAAATTTTTCTATTGTTTTTATCCGCTTGATATTAAATATTAATAACAATGATTGTCCGACGAGCATTGTTATTCACGTTTAATCAGTTATTTTTCTTCATTACTGTGTAGTTGCGAAAAATAATGATTATACGTGTTTTTAATTTTTCTTCGTATAAATTTGGACGTTGGTTCGTCAAGAAATTTGTGATTGATTTAATGTTTATAATAACGCGGGTTAAGAACACTTTTTAGAATTATTTGTAACAGTCGGTTGTACACCCGGCTCAAACGATTCTGACGCATAAAAAACGTGGCTTGAGGAGAAGGTATCCCCTACTCAGCATGCTCTTCAGTCCTACGTTATACATATACTGTGCGTCGTAGATGCGCATAGAATCAGCTTAGAATAACTTAGGACTGAAGAGTGTGCTGAGTAGGGGAAGCCTTCTCCTCAAGCCACGTTTTTTATGCGTCAGAATCGTTTGAGCCGGGTGTACTGTATGACAAACACAGTGAAATGTATATTTATAATTTTTATGTTCGTGGAAATGAATTTGGATAGAAATAACTACGAGGATGAAATGATACATATTTGTGAACTACGAGCATCTAATGGCGTTCCCTCGATTACTTGGAACAGGGATTGCACCTTGATACTGTACTTTGGGCATCGCGTTTTTGAGAATAACAAATCAAAAATATTCCATCTTTAAATGTTCAATATTATAACTAAAATACAAGTAAACTGTCCTATTTAACCCCATTGCAAGTTGTAGCACTAATAGAGGTGCCGATAGGCATCGTCTAGTGACTAAATTGAAAAACTGAATAAAGTGTATTTACGCATAACTGGAAAATAGGAGTTCATGTTTCGTCACGATGGGCCGTTTTACTTTAATTTGTACATTTTGTAAATATGTTCGTTACGTTCATAATTCTTGGAAAGGTATTATCAGAATAAAATCAATTTTGTTTAATTACGTCCCCTTTTTATTTTACTAGGCATCACACTTCCTGTATTTCATTTTTAGCTACAACATTCGATACACCCCTAGCGGAATTGTCCGAAACTAGATCGGGCCTCTAACGGCGGCACCTGGCGGAATTGGTCAGAACTAACACAAATTGCTCCCCGCGAAAATGCAATTTTTTGCCTGCAAGTTGGTTCCACGCCCCCTAGCGGGATTGGCCGGAACTACACCACCCTCTTAACAGCGCCACCTGGCGAAATTGACCAGAACTAACACAAATTGCTCCCCGCGAAAATGCAATTTTTTGCCAGCAAGTCGGTTCCACGCCCTCTAGCGGGATTGGCCGGAACTAGACCACCCTCTTGACAGCGCCACCTAGCGGAATTGGCAAGAACTAACAAAAATTGCTCCGCACGAAAATGCAATTTTTTGTCTGCAAGTGGGTTCCACGCCCCCTAGCGGGATTGGCCGGAACTACACCACCCTCTTAACAGCGCCACCTCGCGGAATTGACCAGAACTAACAAAAATTGCTCCTCGCGAAAATTCAATTTTCTGCCTGCAAGTCGGTTCTACGCCCCCTAGCGTAATTGGCCAGAACTAAGTCAGTGAAGATAAACAAGGTAATCAATCAATGAACAATAAATTTCGGAATAGTAATTTATTAATAGTAGTATAGACGAAAGTATTTCTAAAACAAAATACTCATACAAAAAAATATAAAATTGGAAGTTTGTACATCGATCTAGCACATGGATCATAATACATAACATAATACATAACTATGTAACTTTAACGTCTAGTAACATATAACAAACTCCACGCTTGCTCAGAGATCAAAGACCTTCATTCCATTCATGCCAATGTAAACATATTTTTGACATTTATCCGTCGACACTTAACATACAATATTCTAACTTAACGCGGTCACCTACATAGCTTTGCTAGTATCACAATTCTGACATCCTTGTATCTATATTGAAATTAAATCCTCTATACAATTCTATATAACTCTATGCGTTCTGTCACAAAGATAAATCAGGTATTTGCACTTAGGACTTCAGTAAAAGACGATCTAATATAATAACTAACAGATCTCACAATAATAAAATCCAATAGAATTTGACAGTATGCCTTACCCTATCGCTCATTTGTACAAGTAAGAAAAAGTAACGTTAATAAAAAAAAAAATCATTTACAGTCAATAATTCATACACTCTTATTGCTCGTCGCAACGAGTACCCGACGACAAAATGGCCGCAGCATTTGAACGAGAGTGCACGACGAAACGATTGCCATTAAAAAAAAATAAATGGATACAATAATAATAAAGATGGCTAAATAGTCGCCAGATAAATCTATCTCATAGCGAGTATAATTGTTAACGCGTGATCAAATACATATATATATTTAACGCGATCTATAGATATACGAATATAATCCATAAACTGTCAAAACAATTCTTTTCACGACGATACATTTCATTAGCTGCACAATGAAGGAGTTTCATAATATAAAGGTACGCCTTAAGCTCTTAATTAATACTATAAAAAAGCGAGTCATACCTGGGTGATAATTATTCATATCACACCGTGCATCTCTAAGTATGATTAGGTACGTAAAACCTTTTGTTGATATTTCCTCAACAACTCATTACATTATTCTATTTAATTCTTCGGCCGGAAACGGGACATGTAGAAGTCACAATCCGTACAATATATCGCAGGTTCCAGCACCTGCTTCTTCCGGCACAGGTGACAAGGTGCACAGCGCGGCATTGTCGTCACGGACGCTGATTTTTGTATGGAAGACGTTGTTTGACTCACAGTAGTCGCGCCCTTCGTGCCAGCTTGAAAATGTACTTGCTTCGTTTGCTTAGGCACTGGCGGATGTTGATACGTCGGATACTTCATGTTGGATTGTATCTGTCCATTTTGCAAAGGATTTGGATAAGTTTGATTAGGCGCAAGAACATTCTGTTGTTCCGTCTTCTGCGGTGGTCGCTGATAGTTCTCAACCCTTTGCTGATAATTGTGTGCGGTTTGCTGCTGCTGCTGTTGCTGGTAAGTGGCTGCTGGATTTGGCGGCGGTTGGTACTGTGGTAAAGGCTGGCTCGTTCTGTTCTGTTGTGGAACTGATTGGTACGAGTAGCCTTGATAGGAATTGTGGGAATACTGACTCTGTGGAGATGAGGAGTATTGCTGATAAGGATTAGGTGACTGATTGGATGGGTAAGAAAATTGCTGAACATGCTGTACCGTTATTGGACTTGCATTGTGGGATGGAATCCTCTGGGTCAGGCCAGTAGGCTGCTGTGCTGACATCTGCTTGTTCATCTGATTGTGCTGTTGCTCTATCTGATAGTAAGTCTGATAACTGTTCTTAGGACAATTTACTTTCTGTTGTTGCACTCCATTCTGGGGATACTGATTTATATTGTGCACCTGAGTAGGATAGGGACTTGCGGGTTTTTGTGTCTGGGACAAAGGAATTACCTGATTTCTAGGGTGAGACGTTTGTGTCTGAGGATACCCGGTCTGAGCTGGCATATACTGCGAGTATCCATTTTGTGCGTAACGAATTTGTTGCTGAAGTTGCGGCGAGTAGGAGGTGGGTGACTTGCTCAGATTTTGTTGAGCCACTGGATACGTTTCACGCACTACGTCCTGAGCTTCCACGTAGGTGGGACTGTAGAGCTTCTTGGCGTCCTGGACGGAACCGACCGATTCATTGGAATTTTGTCGTCCAAAAGCCGGTCTGACGGTATCCGGGTTTGAAACAGGATTGACGCTTCTGAGCTGATCCTGGAAAGGCGTTGCTGGCATACTGTCTGCTTCGCTCTTTAGAGGTAGAGTATGTTGCTGAAATTTTGGTGTGGCGTTTTCGCGATTCAATTCGGCTTCCTGGAGGCTCCTGATTTCACGTAAGACCTGGGCCGTCTCGGGTTTGTTCATTGCGGAACGTAGGACTCTCTCCAGGATGGGATTTGGAATGTAAGAATCCTTTTCCTCGTCCTCGGCTGTCGCAACTAGTACCACCTGATCGCAAAACGATACGCTCTTCTTCTTGCCGATTCTTCGTTTTGTCTTACGTGGTGCAATATCCTCTTCGTTTGGGAGGATGGTGGTATTTTGAATAGTGTTCTGCATGGCTACCTCGCTTATATCGTCTTCAGGATAATCCACAGGAAGTCCATTCTCGTGAGGAAGTGTCAAGGACATCGATAGAATTGCTGCATTCAGTCCATCATCCGGGCTACAGGTAGAAGCGATTACTGGAGCAGTCGAGATGAAGGTGCTCTGACTGGAGCTGGACTCGAAGCTGGAGTTGAGTACCGATTGGCCAGATTGATTATCAGATTTTGTGAAAGCTGCGAGATTCTCACTGGACAGTTTCAGAGGTTCACTTTGTGCCAGTTCTTGAGTATCCATTACTGGAGATGAGGAGTTACTGTTCGCAGGCAGTGCCTTGATGGGTTTTGGATCACCTTCTGATTTTGGTGCAGGATGAAGTTTGATCTGCTCGAACCTGGCAGCCATGTCCTTGACGGACGACGAGGAGTTCACCGTCCTGGGACAATCAGTAACATCCCTACCAGCATCCTGTACCTGGCCAATGCTGTTCATCTTCAAGTCACTGGTCCTTCTTGCGACAATGGTAGATCCTTGGGGTGGCATCATCGTAGACCTGGACTTCACGGCATCCTGGTTATGATCCGCGGGTCCTTGTTTCTTCATTCGTCTTTCCGCTTGCTTAGCTTGCAATTCTCTCAGCCACGTTTCACCAGATGTCTTGTCACCCTCGTCCTGCTCCCTTTTACCATCGGCGAATTCGGACGCCAGGATCTGCTCCCTCTTTAATTGCAACTGTGCGAGTAGACTACTGATCTGCTGAGCTTCCAATTGTTGCCTATGGACATGTGCACTGTACTGCGAGTCTTCGCCAGGAGCCTGAACCGGAGTCTGAGTGTCATCTATTGGCGGTGGAGGTGGTGGAAATTCTTCACTAGCTTGTCTCGAATGAGTAACGGAATTAGTGGATGGATATGGAGGTGGTGGAAACTCCTCACTGGGTTGTCTCGAATGGGAGACAGTTCCATTGTCAGGATAAGGAGGAAGAGAATCAGGTTGTGTTTGCTGCTTCACAGGACTCTGTTCACTGTGCACGTCAGCTCTGGTGACTACGATGGTAGGTTCGTAGAGGATACCATTGGCATACTGAACAACGTCATCCTGAATTCTAGGCTTGTTATTATAGTTCGCTTGTCCTGTAGCTGATGGTGTCTGGTCCACGTTATAAGAAGGAAGGAACGGTAGGGAGTGAGGTTCCGATGAGTAATCAGCGTAGTTTGATCCTCTAGAAGACTGACCATTCATGCTGGTCACGTTAGAAGAGTTCCCGTGATTCCAGTAATTTGAATTTTGTTCCTGAGCGGTGCTGCTGGCGTTAACGTCGGGTAGCGGATACAGTGTCTTCTCGGACTGCTCGTTATGCACTTCTCCAGGACACTTAGACTTGCTAAGCTGAGAAGTGGTCCTGAGCGGTGGAGGTGGAGGCACCTTCGCTACGTGCAACACCTTCCCAGCGCTGCCGTGGAAGCTCTTCCTCATTAGACGGCTCCTCTCCAAATTCGGATTTCCAGTGTTTCCGTTCCCAGCGCCACTTCCGGTAAATTCTAAATGACCCTCCGACAAGTATCCGCTCAAAGACTGACCCACTTCGTTACCCTTGAGACCCACGTTCGAATCATCGATCGACTGCTTTGGCAGAGTGTTTGATGAACTTTCGGAGCTGGTTGTAGTTTGACCATCCTGACCTTCTCTGAGATCAGGCATACTTCTATTCTTCCTCTTGATCAGACCACCCATCAGGAGTTTCCTTCTGATTTTATGTTGCTTCTTTCCCTGTTTTTGATCGGTGGTCTGTGCAGTCCCGTTAGCCTGTGGCACCTTCACAGCCGTCGCTTCCACTTCCTTAGGCTTCTCGACTTTTGTTGTTTTTGCCAATGGCGATTGTTTTGTCGGTGCTATAGAAAAGTCCTTGGTAACGTTCTTGTTACGTTCCTCACTACGTGCTCTTTTCTTGTCCTTCTTGTCGTCGTCGCATCTCTTGGTGCGACCAAAGAGTCCGGTCCTTTGAGTGGGTCGATCGTACAGCATGTACTCCTCGTCCTCGATGACGTTAACGGCTGTCGCTTTACTCCTGAGAGTCTTCTTCTTGGGCAGAGTCGCATAGATCTCGATACTCTTTACCGCTGGCTTATCTACTACCGCTGGTGTATTCACCAAGAGTTCCCTACTGTTCTGACGTGAGTGATTACCTTTGTCGCGTGAGCTCTGTCTGGAATGCTGACCGGACTTGCTGTTTTCTCGCGAGTGCCGTCCCTCGGGTGCTCCATCTGGTACAAATAAAATAATTATTTAGTTTTTAACAAACGAACGATGAGATTTCCAGACATTGATCAATTAACAATTAAATTACCTTCTTTCTCGCCATTGGCAATAGCCTGTTCCTGGAGTATCCTCCTGTGCAGACTCCTGGCCCTCATAACGCACGTATTGTGCTTCATCCTCGCTATGGTAATCGTATGAGGATTATTATAGGGTGCATCCATAGCGGCTCTAGCTTTGCTACTTGCAGCATTGCAAAGTGCTACAGCGGTTCCTAGGTCTCCGGCATCCTCAGCGGCACGTGACTTGTCCAGCAGCGCATCGGTTTCCTTACATAGCCGCTCGCAGTCCTCACCCGAGGAAGGTTGATAGCCTTCCGGGATCTGAGCAAGCTGTGCGAATGAACAGTCATCGTTTGTGAATTCGGAAGCCGGTGAAAGTGAACCGTAAAGACGTAAATAAATATTCTCAGAACTTACCTGGAGATTGTGCTTCAGGCCCTGCTGAAGAGGAAGACTATCCGTAGAGGATAACGAGTAGGAATCATATCCGGCATCGTAGTGTCCACTGCTGCTACTGGAAAGTTCTCCGGATTTGCTGGTAGGACTCTTGGGTACTCCGGAATTTCTCTGCATCTTATTGACAATATACAAATAAGGATTCTCCATGGTAGTGGAGGAACTTGAGGAGGCGCTGTTGCGGTCGCCAGACCAGTTTCCCGAATCTCGTCTTCGAGGAACGTTCAGATGATCCGGAATACTAATTCCATCCTGTGGCGTAGATCCTGCACTGAGACTCCGTGTCAGCTGCATCTGCTGTTTCTTCTGTTGCTGCATCACGTTCTCCACAGCTCTTCTGCTAATGTATTTTGATTCGGCCTCCCCGTCGACTACATCCACACCCTAAACAGATACAACAATCTCATTGAAAGCCTTCAAAAAATATTTTCTCCCCAAAAAAGAACAAAATCTTCACAGAAAAATCTGACACGCTTAACCAGCATACTGACTGGTAATTACTGACTGTCAATGCTCAGGGCGTTTCGCACGCTGTCAATCTAACCTACCAATACCGTAGACAATAATTAAGCGCACGCACCTGATTGCCAAAAATGTTGTTCTGTATGTCTGTCAGATTCTGATAGTCGCTGTAGATCCGCCGCTGCGTATAGATATGAGGTGGACTATCAGGATTGGGAGTGATTGCTCTCCTGGCTGTACTATTACTGATAGTCGGTTTCTCCGGACTGGGAGTGATTGATCTTCGCACGTTACCCTTGGGCGGTGTTTTCAATCCATTGCTATTCGGAAAGGGTGTCACTATCTTAGGAGCATTCTCAGTGTTCACCGGCGTCCCGCCAGGAGTCGCGTAAAGCAGAAGAAGAGGTTGATAGCGTCCCCTCCTGCACTTTTCGACAACCTGTTCCCAACGAGGACCTATTTCCTTCACGGTTGCGTCGTCGAAGTAAATCCACACCTGTTAATTCAATAAATTAATACTCCGATTGTTCCTGGGAACTACAGATCCTGGTTGGACCAAGAAAAACCTCAACGATTCTCACGATCGTTACAATTCAAACCTACCTTCAACTTTGTGTGAAAGAAAAACGTGGAGTAATGCTTTCCATAGTAGGTGACAACGCCGACGAGATTGTGAACAGTCGACGTGCCCCACCTGGAGTCGACCACACTGTGGAAGACGTCACTGAGCCTGAGAGACGTTCCCACAGTAGCGAATACATCCATTATGTGCTCCAAGGATGGTCGTTCGCTGTCCCACACGACGCCCACGGAAACAATTTCCGGTCTGTTCATTAATGTCCGACAAATTTGAATCTTGGCGCCACAGGAACTCTGCAAAATAATAAATAAATGTTAATCACAGTCCGCCCCCAATCATACTCGATTCATATGTACGCCTCTATCAAACGACTATTTTAACTATAATAAAGTAACTTTGAGAACCCATCCGACTGTTAACTTTCGTTACGCATCAAGGGAAAGCTTCGAGCCAATGCATATTCATATCCTTCCAAGTCCTAAAGAGGATACCGGATGTGACAATTCCAATAAGTCAAGAGCCTCTTAGTCACTAATGTGTCTCAACCGTTCTAACTGGAATCGCCTAACCGCGATCACAATTATTTCACTCTACTACTTCGCTAATGGAGTCTCGCCGTTGCTTTTACATCTGTCGGCTTACCGGACAGTCGCGAATATCTCCCATTCCTCCAGCTCTTCGTAGCAGCTGTCCAAAGAGATCCGGACTGGATCTGGATGCCGGTGGAGTCTGTCGTGCCTGAGAGGTCAGAGCTGAAGCCGAGACATAGTGTACCATCTGGAAAAAAAAAAAATTATCAAAATTTTAATAAGAAAAAAAATTTTAATTATTTATTCGTAGTACCGCAGTAGGTGCTCGTGACTAATTTGATAGCTTACGAAATTCCCGGCATCCCACAGTCTCTTAGCTAGTATCACTAATACCAACAACTGGAGCTCTACGGATACTGACTGCCGCCTCGGTAAAAGTGATCGGCCATGACCAATGCAAATCGTAACGAGTTTCCTTATTTTTACCTAAGACCCACCAGTCGCCATACCGATCAACTGTGCCTACCTTGTCTTAGCGCTGTGTATACAAATCAAACAGACGTCCATCCTGTAGAAAGGAGTCGATGAGTATATGCCTACTATATACAGGTATATACTTAATATTGACCCATATGAAATTTCTACAATATCCTAAAAAAACACTGGAAGTGTGTATTTAGCAAATGAAATTTGCCACGAAGCACAGAAACGGTGACTTTTTCCAGTACGTTAGCTCGAACCTGATTGGTCTGTGATTATCGTTCCTTTACGCCTGATAAGATAAACCTGCTGTTACTTATACGTGTTGGTTAACATAAATCGGCCGATCTCACCGCAAATTGCCGATTTACTCATTCCGGGTGATTTCTCGTGCGTTTCTATAGTAATTTTCACTAACCAACGCGACCTCGACTTTACACGATAATTTTAATAATAACAATAACACCAGGTAACCATACGGTAGATCAGATCGATATAAAAAGAGGCGCAGTAACCAATGACTAAAAATTTTTCAAAATGTCATCCTGGATATTTACACGGAAAAAAAGAAAAACGAAAATTTCGACTCCTAATTCATTGGGAACTTCGTGCAACGAACGTCACGCAGATTAAACATACAAATTACAAGTTCCTGTCGTACCGAGGAAGGATAAATCAGCGTCCAGACCCCAAAGCCAACGAGCCGCTCTGCAGCCTTAAAGTATCCAACTTCGAAGACGGCTGCCCTAGGAGACTATGAGAATAGTCAAAGTTTACGAAGCGTAAAAACCGATCGATCGCACGAATAATTAATAGCCAATGCACATGTAGAGATTCCTAATATAAACACGAATTGGGCTCCCGTCACTGATCGGAGTAGCCGAGCGATAAACTACCGGTTAGCTAATTCGCTAAAGATCCCAGGATTCGTCTTCACTGGCTGTTGGCCCCTTTCAATAGAAGGCTTCGAAATAAAACCCAAGTCCCCCCCTAAGTCATCCCACGGAGTTGATGCACCCAATGCACCTTTATACCCGGGGATGCTTTTTCCAGGTATCCACCAGATCTGAAAAGCCAGTGGGATTTATTCAGGTCCTTTTCTGGATCTTTTCTCCGAGTTTCCTAGACCGTCGCAGAGATCAGCTTGGCTGACAAAGGTCATCCTAAGCCCGAAGCGGGTACTTATATTTTTTTGGTACAGTCCCAGCCAGCAGTACACGGTAATTGGTTCCGTGGTCCAACGTGGGTAAAAAAAGAAATTGCCACGGCTGATGATCCTCGGCAGATCATCTCGAAAAATTGGGTACTACGTTTCCTAGTGGGATGATCCTGGGACGTTGTGCAAACTGACCTGTGTAAATGGCAATGGCTCCGACGTGGCACCGCAGGCACCACATACACTCTGCTCGACCAGAGTCATGGCAAATTTTTGATGCGGTACACAGTGACGCGCGCTGCACATGTCCTCAGCCTCGCCGCTCGCTATGTGGAGATGAATTCGCAGGAGAATGTTTTCCTGTAAAAATTTTATTATTATTATTGACAATCGAGTTACGTAACCGCGCAATGGCCGATAGCAATGAAATTATTGCTCGAGACCAGCGCTATGCCACTAACGTACTATTGTCCTAATCTGGTTCATGGTCGCGCGATAGGCAGTGGGTAACGTGTGATTAATGGGGAAAGAAAAAAAAAAAACATTTTTCAATCGCAAAACGCGTACAGCCACGTGTGCGAGCGTATGTGAGAATTGAAATTACAGGAGGGGAGGTAAACGTGACTGTAAGGTAAACGTGAAAGTAAACGATTGTCGTGCTGTTTACAAGCGTTTCTGGAATTATTATAGAATCCGATTTTCGTGTAAAATGAATTTCTGCGAGTAAAAAAAAATTTTTTATTTTCAGTACGGGCAACGGCTATTCGAAGTGATTTTGTGAAATTTTGAAAAAAAAAGAAAAGAAAAAAAAATTCAACTTTCCCACGTGGGAATTGCGCTCCGTTGATCCTACCGTTGCGATACGGGGAAAATGAATGCAAAATAGGGATGTGAATTTTAATTGAACGTGAAATCGCACTCGAAGGCGCAACTGCTTTGGTTAATTGTAACTTTAACGTTAATTAAAAGTACTCACGAAGCATTCGGCCGCGTCGTCCATGAAGCCCAGTTGAAATCTTTGCTGATCGAGGAAGCTCTCGGCCAGTGCGCGACGCAGGGCGTCGGGCGGCAGGGCGCTCTCTTGCGAAAACTGCAGCTGCGAGAACAGGTCCTGAAACGTAATACAAAGCTGATTCAATGCTGAAGGACCTGCTCAAAGGATCTTGTGACAAGCATCAGAAGGGTCTCCCTATGTTTTTTTTCTTCTCCTGCGGGATCTTAACAAGGGACCTTTGTTGGAGTACGATGGTACGATAGGACCTGTTGCTTGATGCCTGACAATAAAATGCACCACCACGTGGTAACTACAGAACAGGGGTTGATTTTCCCAAAGGCATTCGCGAGCGCAATACTAAGTCTATAAATGCCAAAGAATCTTGACGGCACGAGAAAAATAATTAATCATGGACCTAATGTATTTTTTTTTTATTTTATTTTTTTTAATATCACAACAATCATTAAATCACGGTAAAATTTCTAGAACGTACAAATTATTCGATTCGATAATATTTTCAATTACGATCGAACAAACGCTTATTTACGTCGGATAACTGCACTGTTGGAATCCTGGGTAATCAAATGTATTTTTTTTCTGTATAAGCAAACACGTGCCAATGTGTTTCTAACGATAATGATACACGATTGTAAAAAAAATATTGCAAATTTATATCCGCGTCGATTGTATTGAGAAATATAACTGTTAATATATATTTTCCTGATGCATTGCTCAATTATGTTATTGTAGACATTTTTTGCGAGACACCGGGTACAATTTGAATTTACAGGAATTTATGGGCGTATGGAGAGGCTGGCTAAGTTTCGCAACGATTCTTCGGCAATCGGTACCTAAGCAACGGTTGCACGTAGAAAGTAGGTGGCACTTGCTCGAGGGTATAATACCACGAACACATCGAGGGGTCGTTTACGAAATTTATGTGGTTATCTGGATTTAAAAAAATATATATATAGCCCAATAGATACCGAATGAGGATTAAACGAGGCTCCTTCGATCACTGACTAAGGAATCCTTCAATGAAATGTACTTAGTTACAGGAGATGCAACACAAGTTCCACAGTGGAAACGGCAAACTAGGTGTGCAAGACTGGAATCGTTATCGATGTTAAACTGCACCTGCACTATATAAGAGCGAAAGAGAAAGAGTGAAGAATGTCGATTGGGATCGATGTACGATTTATCGAGATAAAAAAAAAAAGGATTAATCTAGATCAAGACACTCTCTCGATTTGATCGATAAAATTTATCAATGAAAATCATATTGAATCGCGTGAGATGCATTGGTTACGATGCACTTTGGTTTCGTATATATACACATATATATCGTAACAGGTTGTACCATTCAGTTTATTCAGGAAGTGTAACCTTAATCTGTCCGAGATTACGTAACGAGCATGCACTCGTAAGCGATTAGTAAGAAAAACTTTAATGGCCGCCATGTGTGACGTATATCCAAGTGTTCCCCAATACGATGTATTTGACTCGAGGCAGGAGGGCCTAGATAATTTTTTTTCACATCGAATACGAAACACGCGCGTTATTAAATATACACGATAAGGAGCATTCGTATTCAAATTCAAATTTCCCGCTAAACTTTTTTTAACGCGACAGCATACACGCAACTATTGTCATTCTCGGAACGTGCGTACGTTCGAATTCCGATCTTAACGGCGCTACGGCCAATGTATATATATATATATATATTTCAAGGAATAGAATTGCGCAAGTAACCATTGGTAAATCAAGATAAATAAGACGTTTGAATTTCTGCGAATACATATTAGGACCAGTCACTGTTATACGGAGAATCGAGCGACCCGATATAAGATACGATTGCGTATACATATATATGTAATAAATAAATGACAATTATCGATCGTACTTTTTTCAAGTCATTCAAATCAATTCCAGGCGAATCCTCCCTCTCCATCCCGCTGTCATCCCCCTCGTCGGCTTTGGCACCAGCGTCGGCGTCCACGACGTCGATCGTTCCCAACGCAGTCCCCGACGACGTCGCCGTCGACGGACCCGAAGGATCTTGCCTAACCTTAATCCACTTCAACATTTTCAGCCTTTTTATTTTCTTCCTCGTCCAATAGAAAATTCACCCACGTGACGAATGGGCGCTAGACGAATTTCCATAAATCCAACGTCCACGAGAGCAAGGCCCGTTTCCAAGTGACGACATCGCGAACCCTTGCGAGCCGCTGGCTGGTCTCGTGTCTTTTACTTCGGGACACTGAATGTAGCCAGTGCGCATGCGCACCGCGAGACCATCGGCTTCGCTCGGCTCTTCGAACTTCGAAGTCCAATGAAGCAGCGTGGAGGAGAGGCGCGAAGAGATCCTTCGGATTATGCTAAGCGACCTGGTAGTAAAGTACGCGATTGGCAGACTGTCGCTGCGATGCGCACTGTAAGTAGGCAGGTACCTGTCGCTTCCATACGAGTGTAACTTTACGTGAGTATACCTGCCGGACCCACCGGACCCACTCTGTATGCTCTCTCAGTGGGCCTTCTTAGTGTACCCCTACCAGGAAGCTGTATAACAGTGTTTGTAGTACTCACGAAAGCGTCGAGACGCCGTTTCGGGTCATTATGATAATCGAGAAGCCATTTTTCTTTAGGGCCTTTCTTTATCTTTCTTTTTTTTTTTTTACTGTTACACTTGGTAGTAATGACAAGTACTATCAGTGAGCTCGTTCTTCTTTTGCTCTCTTTGAGTCCGGGATGCTGGATACTCGATGGTACTGAGAGATGATTTCTGGATCTTTGCGATTGAAAATTATGGCTTTTGATTTTTTTTATTTTATTTTTTTTTTATTTTATTTTTTTTTTTCCTAAACCTTCGTCACTTTTCCTCGACGGAATTAATCGTCGGTGGGAAAAATTCAGAGTGAATCTCGTGAGATGACAAGGAATGTCACGCCTGGATGATTGCTACTCGATTACTTGGGTGATGACGAATTTAGGGAGTCTTTTAATGGGGACTTAGCGGTACTCTTAGTGGATACTTTTTTTTTTATCGTACACAGGATGAAAGTGATTAGGAATCGTAGATGCTGCAATCTTGGACGATTTCGACTTTTCTTCCTCTTGCGTCTTTATCTTCTGGTATCAAGCTCAATTGCTTGGCAGCAACGTATACAGCGAATATATTCCTGGTTATTTGAACAGCGTGAAACTGGTTACTGGACGATTACATGACTCCAAGTGAAAATCTAGTTGGTCTGGTTTGACCATCGCTGGATTCATTTTTCTTTTTTTGGGGTCAGTACCGCAGTTCACCAGGAGCAAGCTCGGCACGGCAATTTCCGTGACTTCTGGTACCGCGGACAAAAAAAAAAGTCAAAATGCACAAGAACAGATGACGGTAACAAATTCAAAATCACCTGGCACAACTTTCCCCGGCCCACGTGCGTTATCACTTATCACTGCGTTAGCGTACGAGTATCCAAGAGGCACTGATAAAAAATATAAATAATCCAATAAAAATTTTCGCATCGAGTCACAATTTTCCTTCGAGCACAAATTTCACCCGCGAAAGGATCCCTCGTTTACACTAGCGTGAAGAAAATTCAAAATTTCAAAAATTCCGAAACTTTCAGGTACACCCAACAAAGATCGCAACACTTTTCTTTAAAAAAGCACAAAACGTCTCGGCGGCCCAAAAGATAACGTTGATCCGGACGAGTCGGGCTAGTCGAAAGCCTACTATGTCGGTACCAGCACGCAAGGAGCCGAGCGTACCTGAAGAGAGCGAGTTGCAGAGTGCTGCCGAACCGCCCCCACCCTCGTGGCACTAGAGGACCAAGATCTACCTAGTACGTCCCCTACCCGATAGATCTGAGACCCCGGTGACGTCAGACGGTTAGCCGTCCTACGTTCACCGAGCTGCGAGGAGAGCGAGATCTCGAGGACTCCGGGCGCTACGGCACTACGGCGCTACAACACGGCAGCAGCAATGCTCCGGCACTCCGTGGACTTAGTATACGAGAAAGAGGAGTGAACGAGAGAGAAAGAGCGAGAGAGAGCGAGAGAGAGAGAGAGAGAGAGGAGTACAAGAGCCGCTCACGGGTACTGGGACAAAGCGACTTCCATATCTCCAGCTCAGCGTGGCCACTTCCCCTGCTCTCCCTTCCGCCCCTTCGCCCTCCCTTTACCTGGGCCCGTTCCTGGGCCTTACGTACCTACCTATATACTATACTCCCGTATACACGTGGAAGAAAGTGCTACGTTAAGGTACGCACGCGTATACCTACCAACGTATCTTCCTTTGCTATCCTCTAGAGTTCCAGAGCGGCTCGAGAGATCTTTTTTTTTTCTTCCCAACTTTGATACAGAAAATAAGTAGAGGATATAAAGTGACGCTGTGTATTGATACTAGGATTGTATGAATTTTACGTGTCCAACTGTTTTATTGGATTTACGTTTGCAAGGGAGTCTTGGATTTTTCCTGTTATACATACATATATATATAGACCCTCCCGTTGTCGAAGTCCGTCTGGAAGTAACGGGGCTTGTTTGCCTTTAATCGGTTACGCTGCCTAATTGCGCAGAAAGGAGAGCCAAAAATAAATAGCAAACGGTATTTTCCAGTACGGTTTCGCTTATTGTACTTGTACAGAGTAGTAAGTACCGATACTGTGCGGAGCTCGGCGAGGTCTCGGGGATTGCGAAGTCTGGCTATGAAAGTGTTCGGTGAGAGGGAGGGACGAAGGGGAAGGGAGGTAATACTGGGTGAGTCAAAAATCGTTTAAAATTCTTCGTTCTCAAGGGCGTGAAATCACGCATGGAGGGATGCTTCTTGGGACATTCGTATATACATATATTATATGACCTTAAGGGTCGTGAAGTACTGGGGTCAATTGGGACTCTCGTCTTTTACATTAAAAAAAAAAAAGAAACACTGCCCTCGAGTTCTAAACCTTAAATTCATTCCCAGTGATTCATCCCGGTGTCCCGATCCTACGAATTCTTGACCCACCACGTATAAGCTTGGGTATTTCGCTCGACTTCCTGCCGCCTCGACCAATGGGGAAACCCACTTATCGTTATGGTCTACTCCAGATTTCTTATCCGAACGGAATGCACCGATTATATCGGGACGATCGAATTTGCCGATTTTCCTGGATATACCTGGAATCGGGTTACGGTTGTTTCTTTTATGATTTTTTTTTACAGCAAATAATTTTTTACTACTGCTCGTGCACTGAAAAATTGTATGGTTAACGATCAACGATATTCGGAAATCTTTTGAAACGATCATGAGCTAATGTGAGAAAGGACATTTTTCAAGAATAATTTTTAGGCTCTCTACCCTCCGAAGGTATCCGGGGTCCCTCGAGCGTTGATGCTCGTAGGGAGCAACAGGTAGATTTTTCTGGGCCCCCCTAATTTGTTTTGTACCCTAGGTCGTCTCAGGTGCCCCTTAATTTGAGAAGGCTACGCGAGGGAAGGTGCGTTCCCAAAGTCATTTTCTGTAACCCTCGTCACGACTCGGAGCGAAGAGAGTTGAGGGATCGAAAACTTTTTCAAAAGTTGCTACAACTTTTTGTCCCGTCGATCGTTCCAAGCCGCAGGGCCGTATACGTATATCTGTGCACCCCTCGTCTACTTGTAGTAAGGGGTGGTAAGGAAAGAAAGAAAAAAAAAATTAGTGCTATTATAAAACTTAAAAGGGGGGGGGGGGTGAAGAAAACTCTTTTACCAGTACGTGCTAAAAGTTTCGTAATATAATCAGACGCGACCCCTAAGAATCTTTATTACGACACAACCCCCCAGCCTCGTAGAAAGTGACAAGGGATCCCTCACGGATCACGTTAATGCGCAATATACCGGTAAAACTTCAAAGTTCCTACAACGGATAGGGGAAAGTGAAGGGGGTTGCTTCGGATTTACCCAAAACTAATTTTTAAAAAAAAAAAAAAAAAAAAAATTTTAAAAAAAAAAATAAAATTAAGAAAATTAAAACGATAATTACGCACCGAACACATTATAGGACGGCCATTATGACAAACCGGGTTAGGCAATTTTTTTGAAATATATGAAAATACCGTTGGAAATACGACTCGAATTGGATAAGTTCGCCGTCTCGAAATCGAATTAAATAGCGTCTACTTTTTTTCCACCCTCGAATCTTCCGAAAAGCAGCGTAACCAATGCTTTTAAGCTGCGACGCGATAGGGTAGCCAAAAGCAACGAATCCAAACCCCAAATCCTTACAGTGACTATCGACCGAGGTCCTGAGCCGCTTTTCAACTATTTCGAGATCATAAGACTGATCGGGTCACTCTTAAGAAATTTAGAAAAAAAAAAACCGGTCCCTAATCCACTCCGATCGCTTCCGAGTCGAGCAACAATGGACAAGGTACGATTGAAAAAAAAAAAAATAGACCGTTACCCTGCGACCCTAGAAAAATAAAGTGTACGAAACTCTATTTTTGCGTATACAGGAATATTCCAAAAGCTCGGTAAAATTTATATTTTCATATATTTTCAATCTCAAAAATCAGACAATGGTTAACAACGGACAGACATTCTGATGGTCTCGTATAACAAAGCCCGTGGTTCCCTACTACTGTGGCTACACGGCTGTAATGGAGCAAGTATAGTGAAGGCGGGCACGAGAGAACCTTCGGAGTCTCCTGGACCAATGGGAGAGCAGAATCGAGAATCTCGCGGGAGAAAGGTGCCAGGCTCTCGTGGTCCAGAGGTCCGTTACAACGTGCGTCCCTATCGATGTAATCATTTCGAGTACTTTATAATACGTCGAGATACTCTCGACTAGGTATAAGACATGTATATGTATATATACCATGTATAAAACATAGCCAGTTAGCTAGAGTCAAAATACGTACTATACTCTAGTCGCGTTTGTCATATATTCTCGTAGAGAACATTGAGAGAGAGAGAGAGAGAGAGAGAGAGAGAGAGAGAGACTCTCTCCATCTACCTCTTTGTATCCCACCACGTATCTCAGCCTCTTCAAGACCCTTCTGGACCACTCGTTACTATCATTGTATGCATAGGAAAAATCTCGCTCCGAGACGTAAAAACCTGAAGTAATCTCAGGATTGAAAACTAGTCATTAACATTTTTTTTTTTTCAAACAAAAATTTTTGACTTTTTCAGATTTTTTTTTCTTTACGTAAACTTGTTACTAAGATTTTCCTAAGACTACCCTACCGGCATTGCTGGGTATAACTTACGCGAGCATCTTATACGTGCGTCTATTTTTTTTGGAGAATTTTGAAAATTATGAAAAAAAAGTTCAAATCTTACCTTGAGTGCGCAGAAGATGCATGATTCTCGCATACAAGCATGACCGGAAAGTTCCCTGAAGCTTCGTCGAAAGATGTCCAGATGCCATAACACCTGAAAACAAAGAGAAAAACGTCATGAGATTCCAATGCGATTCAATAACAATAATAATAGTAACGAAAAACAAGTCTTTATTATACAAATTGCTTATCTCGATCCGCGAACAGCCGTGCCTGTTGTCAATTTAAGGAATTCCTCCAAAAATCAAAAACAAAGAACACACCCATCCTCGTATACCGTGGTTTTAGTTAAAAAAATTCGTGACGTACGAGCGCTTGCGCAATAAGTCGTAGTAGAAACGAAGGTCGTTTATGCAAATTCGCAAACTATTTATGAATGAATTTTATATATCGATACGTGCATATTTTATATATACAAATAAATATATTCTGCCGGTATTACGTGGAACATATGAATGCATGTAGAATTATTATTATTATTGTATTCAGAATATATACAGTAATAGTATACGTGCAGTACACGTTACCGTGTACCATAGGACAAGATAACACATCGTATCCTGCGAATTATGAGGAGGGAAAGTAAATCGCAATTTCCGCTGGTATACATATTTTTGTCGCGTACATAGAAACTGATGTTTTCCTTTTTCCGGCTTGATCAATATATATATATATATATATATATAGACGACACGGTTACTCAAGAATAAAGGACCTATATGCTGTTCAGTAAGAACGATCCATGATGAATTTAACACGAAAAATGTATCTTTTGAGTTTCTCAGCAGGTGAAGGTAGAAAATTTTGAAAAGTAGACGACACGGTTACTCAAGAATAAAGGTCGCGTACATAGAAACTGATGTTTTCCTTTTTCCGGCTTGATCAATATATATATATATATATATATAGACGACACGGTTACTCAAGAATAAAGGACCTATATGCTGTTCAGTAAGAACGATCCATGATGAATTTAACACGAAAAATGTATCTTTTGAGTTTCTCAGCAGGTGAAGGTAGAAAATTTTGAAAAGTCTTATACAAATCCAGACCCCGGTTTGAGAAGTTTGAAAATAGAAAGAACGAGTAAATAAGGGACCAGCTTCTCAGCAGTATCTTCTTTTTGATTCTGCTATGGGTATTTTTAGGTCCATGGAAAAATGTGTATTCAAAATATTCGGAATTTTTGAATTTCCCGTATAAGCGATGGAAATAAATGTATATGAAGTTTTTTTTTTGAAAATTGGTGAAAGTAAAAAATATTATGCTTAATAAATATTTTTAGTTATCCCACGGTACCCGTACTAGGATTGGCCTAATGGCGATTCTCAAAAATTCAATTCCACTTGATTACTTTGCTTGTCAATGGCCAACGTATGCGTAATGGTAAACAAATTGAATGGTCAGTGCGTACAAAGCGCGTGGTAGCGGTGACTTCAACGACTGCATAAGGCACAACCCACGTTCAGCTCCAAAAATAGGATCGTCGTTCAACCCACGCGAGATCATGAAATATCAATCGACTGTCATTATACTAATAAGTAAAGGACCCGTTATGTCAGATCGTGCTCATCTAGAGAATAATTCATTATTTCGCACGTATAAGCCCAGGGGACTAATTAATTGTCGAGGCACGGTAAAGGCTG